CTGATAGGTCCGGAGAAGTGGTTGGATGTGCGACACAGGGATTATATGCGGGCAACAAAAATGAAGTCACATAATTAGACCATTTCAATATCTCACTCGCACCTGAACACGTCATGTAAATGAAATAAACTAACCCTGTTGTTAATCCCATTTTTGATCTAATACACTCTTTGCTCAGTGCAAGGAAAATATAAACTTTTTGCAATGCCTTCCCTTAAACTTTGGCGTAAAATATATGTAAAGTACATCAGGTGAGAAGAAATAAGCGAGACAGCTTCGATTGTGATTAAACCAAAGCAGAATAAATTGAGACTAGGAGACTATATATATATATATATATATATATATATATATATATATATATATATATATATATATATATATGTATATGTATATAGACATATAGATATGTATGTATATGATCTATATAGATATGTATGTATGTATCTACACATGATATATGTAGATATGTATATAGATATGTATATATATATATATATATATATATATATATATATATATATATATATGCGCATATATACATATATGTGCATGTGTACAGGCATACACGAATGACAACACCATGATAGCTAAATCTGAATCGCCCTGGGTCAATTTTCGCCTTATATAGCAATTCCTCGGGCGGGAACGCATTCTTTTAGAGTATAAACGGTGGAATATCATGTTCGCGTGATAAAGCCGACAAAACAATTGGGTGAAATTCCTATTTGCATGCGTTTGACAGACTCTTGACCAACCGACAACGAGCAGCTTCAAAAAGCCTGGGAATAAACTGGAGCTTCACCCATCACCCATCCCACCATTCACCATTCACCCATCACCCATCCTTCTTGTTCTGTTATGGTGGAATCTGTGTACTCACATCAGACTGATAGACCTACTTTATGATGTGTGTGACACATGGTACGATGTATATATATATATATATATATATATATATATATTATATGTATAGTTTCATATCTGTTTGACGTTACAGGTACGAGTTCTTGAGGAAGGCCTACAGAGACTGATAGAGCAGCTGCAGTTAAACGAGTGCGCCAGCAATCCGTGTCAGAACGGCGCCACGTGCGTGGACCGGTACGGCGCCTTCGAGTGCCAGTGCCCGCCCAATTGGCAGGTATGTACGGAGCCTTCGAGTGCCAGTGCCCACCCAACTGGCAGGTATGTGCGCAGGTGTACAATGTGCGAGGAACAGACATAGGTGCTGTTACGCAACAGAGGTTAAAGCAACGGACGGCGAGGTGTAGTTCAGAGGTTTGGCGACGTGCTTCGATGATCCATACACCAGCTTAAGTGAAGCGGGGCGACTAAGGATGCAAAACGAAGACTGGCTACTGCTTGGAGGGAGGATAAGCGGGGAGATCCAGGCTGAGGGCAACAGTTTAACCTGCATTCATCTACAGATAAAATTGGGCGAATTGTTAAAGAATCATTCATATGTCCCGTCGACTCATGGAAAGTTTAATGATATGAAACGTTTTGTGAGGAATTGAGAAGCAAGAACTAGCTCCGCCATCTGCAGCCTACAGCTTGGCCATCCGCTATCTTCGTTTTTTCCACACTTTTTGTTTAGCCATTCTTAAGCAGTAGATGCCACATGGACGGCACGCAAGTCCCCTGCCAGCTCCGCTTCCCGGCAACCCCTCCCGCAGCCGTTCGGCCCTGTGCTGGCATTCCGTTTCGCACGCATACCGCCATACAAAGAACTGCCGAATTGATTGCACCAGGATCGGACATGCGAGTGTTGCATTGTGAGCGTTAGTTTTAAGCGCTATGTGAACACGCTGTATCCGTGACCGTGCTTCCAAGGGCACCACATGTGAAGTGGACGTGGACGAGTGCAGCGAGCTGTCCGGCACGGATCTGGGCTGTCAGAACGGCGCCACGGTGCAGCAACACGGCCGGCGCATTCAGGTGGGACAAGCTCTCGCATCAGGCCGCACCGAGCGCCTCTGGTGGTGACCGACCACTGGTGAGAGTAGTGAGCGAAACGCTCCGAGCAGTGATTCAGCGAAGGCCTGGTCACTGAGGGCTCACTGGTTGTGCAGCGTCTTGTTGTTAGCCCCGTCTGCCCATGAATAGGTTGCGCATCAATTATCTGAAACTTACAATTGCAGCATGGACATCAGTAACATGACCGCTAGAACGTGGGGGCGAGGTGGATAAGTTCAGCCGTCATCTCCATGACACCTTTTGACAATTTGTCTAACTGTCTTCACGTCATTGACCTGTAGATGTGATGCCAATGCATTGGAATCCAGCAGCATGGCTAAAATCGTTTATGGCGCCGGTAGTGTAAGTGGTTAATGCATCTGCGTTAACCCCTGTGCGTCTGGGAAACCAGAGATACGGGGTTCGATTCCCCGCGGTGCTCGCTCCTCCTGCCAGGATAAGAGGCAGGCAACACCATATAGCCTCCGCATATGAGTGCGTCGTTAAGCCCCAATGACAATGACAACAGCGTCTATAGGTGTCTCAGCAACCTTTTTATCAACCGTGCCGCTCCAGCGACTGATCGTCCTTGCATGCATCCACCCCTGTTTACTCAATCCGCGTTCCTGCCTGCTTCCCAGCCAATCTCCGTTTACCCGGAAGTGGCTGATGCATCAGCCACGAGGGGCTCTAGAGCGTCTCCGCGGGGAGGACCCGTCCTACGCGTCCGCACAAACTCCGAGAGCGGTCCTTGTGCGGGCCATAGTCTCAGTAGCGGGGGACTCTCAAAATACATGCAGTCTTGCCCCACCAATCTCCATACCCAGTCAGGTCCGCACTCTGAGATGGTCACCATTGGCCGAAAGGTCCTCTATACCAACGAAGCACACACGTTTTTCAGTTGAGCTTTGCGTTTTAAATTCTTTAACTTTGGACTCTGAAGAACATGTTTGCTTTGTTCTGAGCGCTGTTTTTACATGCATGGTGTCATCAGTCTACCTAGGATTTGCCTATGGAGGGCTTGGCCAGCGGTCTCATAACCCCTGTCCCTAAGAGCCAGGGCCGCCATTCTCAACAAGCTGGAGTCACGTGTTTTATCACCGCGACGCCACAAAACCGACCTGAGGTTTGCACGCTTTGCCTTCTTCACCTTCACCTTCTCTGCGACTGAAGCTTAGAAGTACCGATTAATTCAGGACTCGCAATTTTCTTCCATGTAGTGAGTTAGTAGACAATGTAAAACCAAAAGCGACGCAAGCTACAGTACAGCTGAAAGTAGCCGCTAAGTATACCGAGAGTAACGGAGTGTAAAGAGTTTTTTTAACTGGGTGCGACGATTATATCGGAGGGGTGGTATATTCAACCCAGGGGTGCCTCCTCCGGCTAGGGATGGGAGCGGCTCATCCCCATTTGCCCCAACCGCCATCGTAGCTTCGCCGCTGTTTGATATTAAACATGGTGCCACGAAGACGAACAAAGCTCAGTCCTGACTAAAATCGCACTAAGCAACTGGACATGTCTAGCCTGAGCCTCAGACAGACTCTATACGGCCCGATCCCGGACGGGACGCTGAGTGAAGGCCTGCCATTCCAGCTGCCAGTGCCCGTCAGGCTGGTACGGCCAGCGCTGCACCGAGCGCTCCAGCAACTGCAGCAGTGCCAACGAGCGCCAGCTCTGCGGCCACGGCACCTGCGTCAGCCAGGCCGACGGCCACAAGTGCATCTGCGAACAGGTGGGTTAGAAGACAGCAGATGCTCAGCTTTGGTGGCTGGAAACACTTTTCCACCGCTCCCTACCTTTTGTATTCCCCAACGCTTGTACAGTAGGAGCAAAAACAGAATACAACGATATGAGTGCGCATGCCCTTTGCATCATAATGCCGTCCAGTCCCGACCAGATGTCAAAGAGGATTAACGTCCTTCATTAGCCATTAATTTGTGCAGTTAACACTTGTGTGACCCACCAATGCGTTACAATTTACTGGCTTACGAGTTAAAGGGGCTGTCCCATATTTATATGGCGCTTTGAACTGCGGAAGCCATTTTCAAGATCATTCCCTGCAGTTCACAGTTATGCCCGTTGTAAGGTTTCGAAGCCTCTCGTGTCTAAGCCAGGCGTAAACGAATTTGTGCGAACTATTTTGCGCCACCAAATTTGAAGTCGGCCAGAGATGCGTGACGTCAAAGCAACGTCGTACGAATTCCTCCTCCACGATGACCACATTGTATTCAAAATCATGACAAGCACGACCATCTACTTACTCGTGCTTGGAGTTCGTCAGCACTACTCGTCGCATTAACCGTCAACAGTGGGGTTTCATGAAGCTTAACGTGGTAAATGTAAGTTTCAAACAAAAACCACGTTTTGTGATGCATAACACAGGCATTTGAGCAGTTTTATTTGTTTTGACGGGCGTGAGGCTGTCAAAAGAATGAGTCGAGAAAGGCGCCGTAACAGAAAATGCAAATGCAAGTAAAGCATGCCATCACGGACAAATATACAAGCACTCCACGAGAAAGAGCTAGCACACGCGCACATAATGATCGACGGCATAGCTCACACGCATACATTCACAAGCCGCCTTACGGCGAGTTGAAGTACTACAAGTGACTGAGCGGGTCCGCTACAGTAGTATTTCTTACACGGCCAGTCTGGCAACGACTTCGACGTCATCAAGACGTGCCATGAGGTAGTCAAACGATGACGTTTTGGAATAGCACATTACTGAATAGTGAAATTTGGTTGTTTTGAACGGTGTTTTGCACTTGAAATCATACCAATATTAACAAGTAAACTTTTTTTCTTCCTTTCTGCTGCTTAGCTCAATATCTTCAAATGGAGGAAGCTTTTCTTAGATTAATCACGTCTCGTAAATGTCATGACAGAACCCAACATGGCGCCCATGCCTCGTCTAAAACGTATGTCGCCTTTTATGAGGCGGCCGTCAGTGGCCAGCGGCTGACCCCTATCGCAACTGTAGATATACCGTGTCCATACCGCAGGGGCTGGCGGCGTGCCTCGGGCAGTGACAGCGCGGCCTGCACGGAGGACGTGAACGAGTGCGCCGACAGCCGACCGGCCTGCTCCCACGATCCGCCCGTGCCCTGCATCAACACGCCCGGCTCCTTCCGCTGCGGGGCCTGTCCGGCAGGTGGGGTGCACCAGACACTGTCCGGCACAGCATACCGGACGCAGACCGGCATAGAACACCGACCACTGATCGATACAGCACCCCGGTCACTAATAGACGCAACACACAGACACCAGCTGAGACAATACACCGGACACGGACTGACACAGCACACCGGATGCAAACCGGCACAGGACACCGACACTAGTCGGTGCAGCACACCGGCCACTACGTGACACAACACACAGACTCTGGGCTGACACAGTACAACCGGACACTGACTGGCACAGTACACTGGGCACTGACTGACACAGCACACCGGACACTGACTGACACAGCACACCGGACACTGACTGGCACAGCACAACAGACACCGTCCGGCGCAGCAGGCCTATCAGCGATGCTGGTTCCTACAGCTCAATGAAAGTACGAGTCTCAGCACATTAATGTGATCAATAGTGATCAATGAAGGTGTTCGGGGCCCGACTTTAAACGTCGTCAGCAACAAAAAGGCAGCAATCTTGCTGATATGACGGAAGAAAACGTCAAATACGTTTTATTAAAATGTCAAAATTGTATCGCAAGATGGTCGTTTTTGGCCTGCGGTCATAGCATAGCGAACAGAATCGAAATTAGAATTAGGGACATCACGCAGGTGTGTAAATATTTTGTTTTCTCTCAATAACTGTATCGTCTGTGTTAATTGTTCTTGGAACTGCTTGTATAACGTTCGTGCTCGACGTTGCGAGAACATGCGGCTGTCCTATTTTATTGTCTATTGAGACATCATATGTCTCTGGTGGAATGCATCTGTTCAGCGCTATGAGTGGTGAGTTTCTATGCTGAACAAATCAAGATTCTTTATTCCAGAAGGCACTGGCAGCACTCATAAAAAACATTGCTTTGCGTCTCAAAAAAGCCAAGGCTTGCTTGATAAAGCCGTTTAACCAGTACCGCTTGGTACATGGAATGCTATTTTTTCAACATAAGAATTCCCAACTCGCAGGTCCGGAAAACCAGCTTAAGCTCTTCCTTGCGTATAACAAGTAAGCTTTTCCAGTCCGACAGATTTCAGTTTAAGTGAACGCAGGTGCTGCTGGCAAGTACTGCATTGCCCATGAACAGCAACTGATCACCAGCGCATGTGTGTGGCGCTTCACAACGCACGCTGTTCTAGGTTACACGGGCAATGGTTTTTCCTGCACGGATGTGGACGAGTGCCTGCAGTACAATGGTGGCTGCAGCATGAATCCAATGGTGGACTGCTTTAACACAAGGGTAAGGGCACAAATGCTTGAAGGTGCATGCTGTCCAGAGAGCTTACATATATTGTGAAGACATGCCTCGTGTTTCGCATGCAGTTCTTATGGACGATAATTTGCTATATATATATATATATATATATATATATATATATATATATACATGTACATATACATATAATGCTTATGCGAGGTGTTTTGTGGATGAGGTATGGATATACTTGGATATACTAATACAGTGGCACTTGATAAGCAGGTAGCAGTGAAGACCACTCGCATTACCACCATCTAGCCTAGCCTGATGCTTGAAAGCATGACGAACACATATGCAATCAACCAGTTCATTATCATGCATGCTATGCCACTGCTTCCACGAGCGATGCCACCCGCTGACTCAGTGGCGCTGAGTCAGTCTTACTTTAATGATGAGAACATTTGGGACTTGAGTGGCTCCGCCTGGCACACCTAAAAACTAATGCCTTTCCAACCGATCATCTCATGTTCTTGCATATGTCGGCATTCTTATGTGCAATTTTAAATACGTCGCACGATATTACTTGTTGGAAACTTGTATGCAAGCTGTTCTATCACTCAGCTGTCTTGCGACGTTGCAATGTCACCCGGACGTCACCTCCCATCCGGCTGACATGAAAAGAAGCAATGATCTGCGGAAGTGCTGAGTAGCACGGGTCGAGACCGCACCAGATCTCGGCGGCCAGGGGTCGCAGCGGCACCAGACCAACAGATCGAGGCGGAGAAGAGCACGGTCAATGGCAATGGCAAACGGACTTGTCGCGGTGCGCAGCCGGTCTCGCGCTCTCGTGGGCCAACCGTGGGTGGATCCGCTCGCTTGGAAAGTTTTTAGTGAATAATGTCAGGATCTCAACAACTAGGGCAGAGAGTGACGTGGAATCGACTGCAGGTGTAAATCATGAAGTTGTGTATGCCGACTGCAAATGCTAATGAGCTAAAAGCCGTCCGCCCCACAGGCGTGTCAGCAATCGGCAGGATATCCACAATTTCCCTCTGTCCGAAGCCGAGTTCGAATACAAAGCGCTGTTGCCCTAACGAAACGACAGGCAATTATATTCACACAGACTGGTATCCCCGCTTTGAGGGACAAATATCCAACGATCGTGCTGTTTTTCAGGTGTTTTGGTCATCATTGCGAAAATGGTAAAACGCTGCACTTGTTCATGTCGTTCGCTGCAACCATACACGTCTTTCAGAGCCACTATTGCTCATACCAGGCTAAAATAAAGGTATTTTGCTACTAGATATGTAGGATTACAATCGCTGATTCCGACCATGTTCATAGTCTGCCATTTCCAAGCAGCCGTTCCTGACTTAACTCGCAAATTTTACATCAGTGGACCTCCTCTAGTTCAATGGTCATGAATGGTCAACCTTTTAAAGCACCGGTCACACCTATTGCCGTTATCCGTTGTCGAAGTTTTTGGTTCCAGTGGCTCAGTTTTTTGGCACCACTTACGGCCTTGACATCTGCTAGCGCCTCGCTCGCCCGACGCCGCAGAAAGCATGCAGGCAAGCACCGGCAGCATATAGATGATGTGGTACGATGCAGGGGTGCAACCAAGTCCCTGCCCCAATAGGCCCAGATTGATTTGTTTAAACCATAGATGACTCCCGACAGAAGGCTAAAAAAAATCGTCGTGACGCATACTCACCGAGCTCGGCCGCTCCCCCCTCCCACAGAACAAAATCCTGGTTACGACCCTGGTACCATGGCGTTTAGCTAAATGGGTGGATTGGTATGTTATTCGCCACCACGCAGCTCTTGCCCGCTAGACAGGTTGTTGTGCATGCTATTCCGCGGCATGCCCGCCGTCGCTGCTCAGTAAACCTCGTCGACACCTGCTCTGTGTGTCACAGGGCTGGCGACGATGTGGGGCGTGCCCAGCCGGTTACCAAGGCAACGGAGTGGTCTGCCGCGTAGCAGCGGGCGGGATCTGCGGTGTCGGTAACGGCGGATGCCACCCTCTCGCCCAGTGTTACCACAACCCAGGTTAGTCAGGGGCGGCCGGCATAGGCGTGGCAGGCACATAGGTGGTCAAACAAAGGAATATTGCCGGCTACTTCGATTTCCGAAAACAGCTGATTGCTTCGGCGTTCAATATTTCAACGTTATCGACGCATCATAGAGAGACAGCTGGTAAAACTCACAATACTTAAATGTTAGTCTTACGGAAGGATTGAGACGAAACATTAGTATGACGGATGGAATAGTTGCGCGGAATATCATTCTCGCTTGGTGTATTTATTTTACTGTTTCCCGGTTATCTCTCAGGTGGTATTGTGATAATCACATGAATTTATGCATAGGTAAATTGCATATATATATATATATATATATATATATATATATATATATATATATATATATATATATATATTCATATAATGCTGTCAGTATCATATAGATGATGCCCATAATTATTATTCATGATAAAAATATGTATGAATACATGCATACATATATATATATATATATATATATATATATATATATATATATATATATATATGCCATCATTATATGATACCTTTATATCTATAGTGTATGTAAATATTGCATCCGGGGGTACTAGGGTCATGATTGAATGCGTCACTACCTGTTGTTTGGTGCTTCGTTCAGTGACGCCGCAGGCAGGTATTTCAAACTAATGCAAATGATGTCAATGTAACACCAATTTGTTCCAGAGGTTTTGAATCCACTCGCGTTGTCGCGCATATTCGTGCCCTTTTGCACGCCAGTTAAGTTAGCAGAGCATTCATTCGTATTCGAATCCAGCGTCTAGCCCCGATTTCGTCGGGCATGACACTATCAAGTACAGAGCTACATTATTTACGAACATGCCTTGCGTTTCACTGTTCTCTAAATAATGTATCTCCTAGGGGCCAAAAAATGTGGTCAAGCGAAAACGCTGCAAAATAGCGTTTTGGGGATGTCATGTAAGACCCGAGTATACATGACAATCCAGGCAGCCCAAAAAGGATTCCAGGGCTAACCGTCAATCTCAAAATAAAGCTCAAACCACGTATTAAAGCAAACACATGATGACCATGGTACGAATAGCGTCACACGGCCCCAATATGAACTGGTCTGCACAAGCAAGATACTATGAAAAGCCTTCATCAATTATATCAGCAATGCCTTCAGAACGGCCCATTGGAGGATGCCTCCATCCCCAACATTACGATATGATAACGAAGTAGTACTGCATGAATAACGCGTAGGATGTCAGAAAGCCAAAAATTGTATTCCAGCCTGGGCTGTCAAGAACTGCTAGCCGGGATAACCTCCAAGATCACATCTCAGTCCAATCACGGGTTAACGCCGTACTGTGGCTGTATCGGCCGATCTGCACAAACAGGGCGACATGTGAACCCTGGTTATTCATTCCAGCCTGAGATTGTGCGACATAGCACGGCAAGGAACAACGTTCCTGTCAAAAGGCTCAAACGCCAAACTAAACGTCCTAGTACGGGTTAACGTCGCATTTATACTGCAAGGGCCGTTGTGCATAAATGCGGTGTGGTCTGAAAGTCAGAAATCCATTCTGGCTCAGGTCGATAAACAGGCGCAAATCAACGCTGCATTTCAAGTTCAAAATGAAAGTAGAATGAAGAGTAGCATAGGCGTGTCGCCTTATTAGGCAGATTAGCACAAACAGCATCTTACGTGCAAACCTTTCCACCCTTGCCAGCAACCTTCCCAGCCTTGGCCGAGGTTTTTCCCATAATTGTCACGCATTTTGCCAATTTTTTAACCCTGCTCCTCAGTGGTTAGTCATTGGTTACAATGGGTGAGACCAGCTAACTACACTGCCAAAAACATTTTTGCAACTATTTCAGCATAGTTTTGGGCCACACCTGAGCGTAACGTTATGCTGTCAACCCCCTTCACCCTTGTTGCACTTCAGGTGCTCTCTACCAACACCGCCCTCCCACCTTCCTCGCGTAACGTAATACGTACTACCACGAGAGCGCATTCTAAGTCAATCTGCAAAATCATAACCAATGACAAGGAGTAGCGCAGCATTATCGATCTACGGTGTACTTGAGTAATATGGGGCTATCAAATCGCATGACCTGAAGCCTTTTTGCATGTTTTTGTTTTGCCAGGGCAATGTACCTTGAAGCGTGACGCTTGTGCAGACCAGGCTGAAGGGAATAGCTGACTTTCAACTAACAATTCATTGTGTAAATCGGCCCATGTGTGGACAATACTATGGAGCCTAGTCCTTTGAACTGGTATGTGACCCTGAGGGTTCATCTTGGAGTGCGTTTTTTTACGACACGGACTGAAATGGATACCTGCCTTTAAGATGCTGAGCAGTCCCATGTCGCGGCAATCTCGTGCTTTTCCGTCATTTAACCTGCAACATATGCCTCCTGATTGACCTCGCATTGGGCGCTTTTGAGAATCCAGTCTAGATCAAAATGATGCTGGTTTTTCATAGTATTTATGATATTTTCCAAAGCATACCGAGATGGGTCCCAAATGGTACCAATTCCGGCATGCTCCTTTCACAGACCTTCAAAACATAAATTTGGGATTTTTGGCCCGAACAAGTGTTTACTTGTTAAATTTTGCCAACCCCGACCGGGATAGATATCGAACTTTCACATGACGCTTAGGTCAGTCCCATAAAGCGACATTACAGTTCTCTGCGTCCTATGATTTAAAAGTTTGAGAATTATAGCTTTTGAACCAAAGTGATGAATTTGATAATGCAATGTCTGCAATGAATTTCCGCCTTTCAAAACACCTCCATCGCACAGGTGGATACATTGCATGGGCAGTGCGTTGCTACTCCGTCCTTTTGCGTTGCACATGGTCTTCAAGGTAGATCTTGCAGTTTGTCTGTTTTTCTAACGGTTCAGAGGGAAACGACAACTGGCTCTTTGATAGTGCTCTTATGTCAAAACGAGGTGGACTTCCCGGATAGCATAGTCCTGCCGCTCAATGAGACCGATTGGTACAAATACATCACATGCAAAGAATGTCGACGTTGATTCGCACCTTTTAAGGGCCAGATTAAGACGAAAGCTTGGCTTTTATAATGTATCACTGTTCTGAAGAAAAGTCTCATAGAGGGGATATGAAGACTCTGATGCTATCTAGAGGGCATACTCTGACCATTGGTCTGGAAATTTGACGCTTGCGGCGTTTTGACCGGAGCGATGAAACATGAAGCTTGAAGTTGGTTATCCAGAGCTGGAATTGGTGTCTGGGGTTTAAATGGCGCCTCAGTCGGGCACATTAGTACTATACATCGGTAGGGCGGCACTATTCCATTTTTTGACACTGGCATGACCTTGCAGCTTGTTTTTTGTCCGCACCTTTTTAATCGCCTAGGCTGGAAAATATACCTGGGTTTTTGTGGCCTCCTCTTTACGCCAATCATTCATACACAGCGACAGCACTCAGCTAGCACGCCATTTGACCTCTAGACTGGATTTGGACGTCGTCCTTGATTATGCCTTTTTAACAACCTAGGTGGAATAGATATGGCCTTCAAATGACATGACGTTTGTATTGATCGGCTCCATACTGGGGCAGTGTGATATCATCCAGTTATTTTAAATTAACTGTCACTTGCAGGTTGTCCGTGGAAGTGTTTTGTTTGAAAGGCCTGATTAAAGTGGACAGCTGACTTCTAAGGCACGCCCCATTGATTAACATCAGCACTTTAGAGCGCCATTACGGCGTGGCCCCGTCGTTGGACCTGCAGATGAATAATGGAGGTAAACCCTGAATTACGCATTTTGAACATTCCACGCTAGACTTGTGCAGATTATCCACACACAGCCGCCATAGAGGGCAATATGTCTTTTGAGTTTGAATTTTGTGCATTGATTGGTTTACTGACTGCTTCGATTGACCCTGAGGAATTATTTTTTACGTTCCAGGCCAGAATAGCAATGCACCGTGTTTGAGCAGATCGTGCTCAAACAGCCGCAGTACGGCGTCACTACTAAGATAGCCATAGTATGACGACCCTGGTTTTGACCATGGAAGTTGACTTTGGAATGCGGTTTATCACAGCCCAGGCTGGAACGAGGCAAAGTTTCCTGTAGAGTCCCCATGTTTTTACACAATTCCCATGGGGTGGCAGTACACTGTTTCCCTGTTATTTCGCCTTGAACTTGACCTTGCAGCCGTCCGGTCGACCGGGCTAAATCGCATGCTTTGCTGCATGGCCTTTACAAGGCAATGCACATGAGCGGATTGGTCCCACGAAGGCGCGGCGTGGTGCGGCGGCTTAAAGACTGGGTCTGGGGCCCTCGCTGGAAGCATTGTTTTTGAAGTGTGGCGTTTTCGGTGGCAAGGAGGATATTTGACTGCCGGAGGTCAAACTTTTCGTACCTGAGCAAACCAACGGTTTCTTTGCAACGAACAATGCATGTACTTTAAATGAAACAAGAACTAGACGCTGAATTTCAATGCCAAGTCGCCACTATATGAACTATCATCCTTTCTTACATTTTTGATTTGGCCTTTCATACCATGCAGTCGGCAGCATATGCTCGCCAAGAATGATAATGCAGCAGTGCAGCACCATCCGTGTGCAGGTGTCACGCGTGTCCGTGTTCCACAATTACAGCGATATCGGCCAGTCATGTGCAGTGCACTTGTCCGTCGGGGTACGCCGGCTCGGGGCTGGGCCCGGCCGGCTGCGTGCCGCGCTCCGGCGCCGCCGGCGTCACCTGCGCCACTCAGCCGTGCGTGCACGGTACCTGCGTGGACGGGCCGGTCGGCTTCATCTGCACGTGCCCGCCCGGATACACAGGTGACGGCCGCGCCTGGGATAGGCCCCCGGGCCATCCAGCCTCGTAATGCAGGGACTCCGAAATAACATTAGTTTAGGCACCAAGCATTGCAGTTTGCTCTGGGAGACCCCTGTTTTGCTCTGCCGTTTTTACTCATGGTTGTGTATGCCTCCGCGTTAGATGTGTTCAAGTGTAGTGCAGATGCTTGGGGCCTCTATATACAATGCATGCCACATCACTGTTGCTCGATTTACATTTAGTGCTAATTGCAGCCGCGTGTAAAATTGCGATGTCTTGAAATCGCCGTGTATCAAACAGACACATTTTACGCCTAAAACAATCACCACATAGTTACCACTAAATAGCGATGAGCGCGAAGGTTCCCGCCTATGAGGCATACTTGAATGCACAGCCGTAAGAGATCGGACACTTCGTTTTGTGTGAATGAGAGCAACGTCGATAGCGCGGTCCGTTGTTTTACCAGCCAGGCTCTTCCTTTTAAATTTGCCAATATTTACCAGAGAGGAGAGGAGAGCGAGAGAGAAGAGAAGAGAGAGGAGAGGAGTGAGAGGAGAGTTGAGAGAGGAGAGGAGAGAGAGAGAGAGGAGAGCGAGAGAGGAGGAGAGAGAGAGAGAGGAGAGAGAGAGAGAGAGGGAGAGAGAGAGAGGGGGGGGGGAAGGAAACGCGCAAACTGTTGGTACCCACCGTTTTCCCGTACTTGCTTTGCATGAACGAAGGCATGACCCAGGATGTCTAAACCGGCTCGTACTATTTTACCTTGTACATCATCCCACACGCATAACGCCGCGGGCCGCCGTTGTGCTTAGTACCCGTGGGTATTTGTGCAATCCAGCAGCCAGTGTCTCAAAGACGTGTCATCGCGTCCGTTTCTCAGGGGCCCGCTGTGATATGGACGTCAATGAGTGTCAGAGCTCGCCGTGTCAGAACGGTGCCACCTGCTCCAACACGGTCGGCTCGTTCACCTGCACGTGCAGCGGCGACTATACGGGCCCGCTCTGCCAGACCCGTCAGCAGGGTAGGTTCCACCGCCGCCGCCACTGCAGAAAGTGTAAGTTAGTCAGGTCTAAGTCCGTCCCAGTGTAAGTCAGCCGCTGCCGCCGATCCAAGAGTCACGCCTGGTACTGCTAAAGCCACCATCACTTTCAGGCGCAAGGCCGATGACGCCGCCACCACGACACCTCAATCAGTGCAGCAAATGCCGTCAGTGGTCTGCTGCGATCCCGGTTTAAATGCTCGCTAGTATTGGTGTTTCCGATCACGGGCCATCTTAACATCAAATCGTCGTTTATCGTTCTGACAATAAATCACGAATAATCGTTATTAATCCCCGTTTACTTCGTGTTCAGAAAAGGATAACGGGATCGAGAGGCAGCCGTTCCACTCAGCCTTTCGACTAGAGGCAACACCCACATTATACTGTATGCCGTATTATGCCTTCGTTTGCGACTAACCCCAGTGGTTGCGCTGTGCGGCAGCGTGCGGGGGCGCACTGGACAGTCCCGGCGCCCTCTCCTTCCCACACACGGGCGTCACCTATCCGCACGAGGTCAGCTGCGCCTGGCTGATCCGCGCGCCGCCTGACAAGGTGCTCAACGTCACCTTCACGCGCTTCCAGCTGGAGCCCTCCAGTGGCAGCTGCCGCTACGACTGGCTCCAGGTGATATTTTTATGCAGAGCGGGAGCGGGTACAGCGGCCATGCTGCTTTGCAATATTCCCCACCGAGGCTGCTGAAGCAGGACCATGGCCAATGGCATAGAGTATTATACTCAGAAGACAGTATCGTGCGGGCCATACACATGCCTCACGCAAAGTTTTTTTCTGGGTAAGATCTCAGCTCAGTTGCAATCCTTCGCGAGCTATCGTAATACAGCTACTTAGCACACGGACTCATGGGCGTCTACATACACCGCCCCCCATTTTTTTTTGTCCGAGCAGCTCTTATCATTGTGCTATTCGTAGGCACCATGCTGTCAGATTATTATGTATCAAAGGGTAAGCACGTTAAAAAAATGCATCGCACAGATTGCTCAACCGCGTGGGGTACGAAGGCGCTGCTGGTTTGCCCATGGAAGCATTTCATATCGAGTCTTCATGCTATTTCCAAGCCAATACCCTGCACTGTGCTCATGACTGCAGATCCATGACGGCGTGAACAGCGCAGCGCCGCTGCTGGGGCGCTACTGTGGTCAGGACACACCGGGGGCCGGTTCCATCGTCTCCTCGCACAACAGGCTCTACCTCTGGTTCCGCTCCGACCACAGCGTCACCGACATCGGTTTCGCCATGAATTTCGAGTCCTCCGATCCAGGTGTGTGGCGCGTGGGAGGAAGGGAGCAAGCAAGGGAGACGAAAAGGGGCGGGTAGGTGAGAAGTGGGAAAAGGAACGGGGAATCAGGACAGATAACAACATATTGGTATCAGAAGGTAGAAGGTAACAAGAGGAAAAAACAAGAGAATGGGCATAGGTCGGGCAGGGAAGGCCTTTGGGATTTGTTTTAAAAGGTAAAGACAAGGTGGTAAAATGGTACGAGTGGAGAGAAAGCGATGACCAGGACTTGCAATGCGCCAAGCAGTGACCTCGGGCTGACCGGACGCCCCTCGGACTGCGGTCAGTATGCGGCGGGGCGCTCGTCGACGAGTACGGCAGCATCAACTCGCCCGGCTACCCGGGCCGCTACCCGCACAACCGCGACTGCGTCTGGACAGTGGCCGCGCCGCTCGGAAAGAGGCTTCGCTTCCAGTTTGCCGTGCTCAAGCTAGAGACGCACCCCAACTGCAGCTACGACTACTTGGAGGCAAGTCGCCGCCTGTCGGATGCCGGCAGGGTTTCCGCAGGCGTCGACGGATGGCGGGGAAGTTGGGGACCACGAGACCAGTGTTACAGACGGTCAAGGATCCGGCAGCCAAGAACACCAAGTTATAAGCATCTGAGCTCTGACGTGCGATTTTAACTGTTGCTGCGGCGCATTTCTAGACTCTACATCTTAGCGCATAAATGGTGTGCTTTAGTGAGTAAAGGCATGGAGGGCAAGGCAGGGAGAACAGGGAGACAACATGCCACTGCCCTAAAACGAAGCCCACTAGTTTCAGAAGCTTTTCCGAAATCCGCCGAAAGTGGGGATATGCCATCGGGGATTTCCGGCTCTGCACCCTTTCTGACCCCTTACCTTGCATCTGTGATCATCAGTCTAGAATCTCTGACGGCACCATTGCAAGTGAGTTGCTGTTGGCAGTTTTGAAGGTCTTCAAGCATGGGCATATTCTAAAGCTAACGCCCTGCTATTGGCCGTGTTTGGTGCGTTTCGTAGGGGCTTCGATCGCGCCCCCGAAGCAAGGATGCAAGAACTGGGAAACACGTGGCATCCCTTCCCGTAGTGCGCTAAAACCCAGCATCAGCCTCTTTAACTCCGAAAAATATGCATTTACCCATGCCATGAGGAAAGAATCTTAGAGGGGGGACCAGTTCAGGGGGACCGCGTGCCTCCCTGAACCAAGAAGTCTACACTATATGTCGGCTTATTTGGCAGAAATTTCGCGGGAGTTCTGATGTCTCTCCGCATCCTCGAAAATGTCTGATGGCTATCTCGCATTACATTTAATTTACCTTTGTTGTTTTGCTGGTTTATCGCATTTAAAGATAGAGTGCAAGGGTTTCTGAAAGATTTCACTCCGGTGACAAGTTAGACGGTTTCAAATTTAGTCAGTGACAGAAATAACACTTTTTCACCCCTGTCTCCTCCCCCACCCCCCCCCCCCCCCCCCGAAGAAAAATTTAGCTACGTGCATGCATAACGTCGCACGATGAAACAAGCGATGACTCTCATGCGGTGCTACGCCCTGTGCTAACCCACGTGCCGGGCACAACGTGTCCCTCCCCGTCTGACAGGTGCGCGATGGGTACTCGGAGACGGCGGACGTGCTGCAGCGGTACTGCAGCACGACCCTGCCGCGGCCGCTCACCACCTCCGGGCCGTTCGCCTGGCTCCGGCTGCACACGGACCAGAGCAGCGCCGACCAGGGCTTCCACATCACCTACTCCCAGATCCCAGGCGAGTGGCCTGCCGTCGCCAGACGCCGCCGAGTCCGCAGCGGCCGCCTGAAGACCGGGCGCCACCGCATGGACTCTGTGTGTGACACTTGAATAGCGGGTCCACGCTTGGCCCCTTTGCTCGATTTGCTCCAGACCTGCGCTGGGTCAAGCCCCGAGTGCGCCACCGGGTGCTGTGTGTCTACCTTGTTATGTAAAAAGAGCACAGACCTTCGCACCAAGTGAGTCCAAACCCACAATGTACAGAGAAACGGAGATGACGGCCACAATGCAGCCTGGCGTGCACTGCTGAAGTACACTGATTCAAAACTCTTAATGTTGTAAGGTCGTTAAACAACGCTTTTGTCTTTGGGTAGAGGATGTATTTCTTTCATTGGAACCCTTACGAGGGAAAGGCCGACCAGTGGCAAATGGCCCACACTTGTTTCAGGACTACCCCTCGCCAAAAACATTTCATGATATTAGTTGACGACTTTTTTCAACATTTCAACATTTCAACAACAAACACTTCAACATTTCGCATTCATCTAAAACATGCTCTGATGAATGTACATTTTGCCTTAGAACATTTCGGCACATAGGCACGCGGTAAATATGCATTGCAAGCGATTAACATTTCGTAAATTTGACACATCGGCAACGAAATGTCGGGAAATTGCCCCTCCACTTAATCATTTCACTCGGCGACAAAAAGATGCGTCGACAAAATGGCATTCGGCTAAATGCCTTCAGCAAAAAGGCATTCAACTAAATGCATTTCGGATATGTCTGCAGATACCAGTCGAGAAAGGGGCGGACGGCCATAACTGACGTCGTTTGCCAACACTTTTGCCTGTCGGTAAAATATGTGTTTCTTCCGGCGACACACATGTGAGGGAAAGGCTTACCAGTGGCAAAGGGCCCACAACATGCTGACTGGCTGTGCCCCCAGTACCCAGGTAGACACACGGACCAAACCCCACCCAGTCTACCGCGTGGCGTCGTGCTCGGTCGCGAACCGTTCACCCAGTTCGTATGACGTCATCAGCACCTCTCGATTCTCCCGGCGCGGGGGCTGCGCTGAAGAGCCTTCGGGTGATCGGCTGGCCGCTGCGACAGGCATACCGGGCTGCGGCGGCGAGCTGGCCGGCGAGCAGGGCACCCTCTCCACGCCCACGCACATGCAGCGGTACCACCACAACATGGACTGCGAGTGGAGGATCCGCGTGCCGGGGAACGAACGCGTACAGCTGGTCTTCGATAGCTTCGAACTGGAGGGCAGCTTCAACTGCATCTTCGACTTTGTCGAGGTTTGTGGGCTTCAATGCGGCGGGGAAATTTGCCCTCGGGGCCGAAGAGGAGTAAAGTACAAAGCTCGCAATCTGAGTGTGTTCTGTCTGTTATTCCGGGTGAAATTCACCGTTGTGGATAAAACGGAAGAAAATCTGATTGCGCCTTTGACCCCATTCTTCTTGCTATCTACGTAAGCCATGAAGTTGTCAGGTGTTATCGTGAACATGAGCATCATGCGCAACTAATGAAGTGCTGCTTTGCATGGATTCATTTCGGCACCTGCTCTGCGTTGCGTTGCGTTGCGTTGCGTCTGCTTTGCGTCAAAATTTTGCAGTAGCTACATGCATTCATGATGCATTCAGATGCATGACCATGACCAAACTTGCACTCAGATGCATGGCCGTGACCAAACTTGCACTCAGATGCATGGCCGTGATCGGCACGCTCCGCGTCTTTACAAGCGCTGAGAGGCGGCGGCACGCGCGACTTGCCCCAGGCGCTCGGGGGCGGCGGTGTATCTCATATGGTGTATCTCACAGGTGCGGGACGGCCCTGACCCGGACAGCCCGCTGGTCGGCCGATACTGCGGCCGCAACACGTTGCCGCCGCCCTTCGCCGCCTCCGGCAACGAGCTGTACGTCCGCTTCTACTCCGACTACAGCGTCTCCCACGGCGGCTTCTCGGCCACCTACGACGTCGGTGAGTGCCGCTCTCCCGGGGCCAAGTGAATGGATCAGCTGCCGTTGCTGGTCGGCCCGCTGCTGTGTGTCTCACCCACCGACGATGTAACGACGCCGGACAGTCAACCATCAACCGATATTCGGGTTCATATAATAACGCCATGAGCCGGGCACCACATGCCAGTTCCAATCCGTCGCGACCTGATGTCTTGCGCCCAGTGGTGGTCTTTGTGTTCCTGTGCCAAGATGTCGAGAAGGTCGACACAGCTGACCTGCGCAGACCTGTGCGCCTGACCCGTGACCTGTGTGTGGGCGTGAGGCTAGATGGCCGGAAGTCGCCGCAGCGCTTAGTCCAGAGTCACCGCGCTGACCGGCGGCCCTGTCCGTACCGCCAGTGTGTGGTGGCGTGCTCTCCACCGAGTCCAGAGTCACCGCGCTGACCGGCGGCCCTCTCCGTGCCGCCAGTGTGTGGCGGCGTGTTCTTCAGCGAGTCCGGCGTACTCCGGTCGCCTAACTTCCCCGAGAACTACCCGCACGGAAAGCGATGCGAGTACCTCATCCGACAGGAGCCCGGCCGAGCCATCATTCTGCAGTTCCACGACTTCCTCATGGAGAACAGCTTCGCCTGCTTCTTTGATTACCTGGAGGTGGGCACATGCTAGGAAGTGCTGCGCTGGTGCAAGCCTTGTTTTCATTAGACCCCATAACTGCAGCCAGCGATCGAAACTTCACGTTCACTTCACTGCACTGTTGCTGACCATCCAGGACATTATATACCAGTTGGAGGTTACGCTGGCCGTTCGTCTGTGTTCATGCGTGTGTTTTTCGGGCGCGTACCGTCACGAAGCTGATGGCCAACCGAGTTTGCTCCACATCAAATGTTTTATCCCTGAGCGATAATCATGCGTCTGTTGCTGATCCCTTCAAGTAATTGTTCAGCTGGGAAAGATCGTGACCACGTGCTGGTATCGCTCGTCGTCCGTGGCAGGTTACCGAAATCAGCGCGCTCCGGTCCCGTACCAGGGCGAAGTTCACCCCGTTCATCAAGAAGCGATCGCGTCCATTGATCTGCTGGCACCCGATAAGTGTTGGTTTTCGTGCCAAGTTGCAAGGCATGCTTCATTACTCGGCCACCCAAGCGCTGCACTCTTTCCAGGTGTTTGATGGCCGAGACTCCTCCTTCCCATCGTTGGGGAAGTTCTGTAACGAGCCTCCGCCAACTCTGATATCTAGGCACAACTACATGTACATCCTGTTCGTCACCGACGGCAGCGTTCACAATCGGGGATTCCTGGCCAACTTCACTTCCATTGACACAGGTTTGTGATGGGATCGTAGTGGCAGTATGGTGGTGCAGCAGCACGGCTCGGACTGCTGGGTCGTAATGAGCGGATACGCACTTTTAACAAAGCGCGTCATTCTCGCCGCCCTCATCGGCTCCGTTCTCGGTGCATCGGACCCAAATTTTGTTCAAATATCAGACTAGGAGTCGTAGCACAAAGACTGTGCAAGCGTAATCATACGCATACCTCGAAGTCACGTGATTAGTTCCTTCTGGCAGCAAAGCGGCATTTTCGCAACATGGAGTGGTGTTAACGACATCGCGCTGTTTGCATCTGTGACTAACATTATCGCGACATGTTTCTGATTTGCCTTACCGATGCTTTCCATCTTTTAACTGCGTGCTAAATTAAATTAAGCTATATCGTTAGGCAGTATTTCGCGGTAAGAAACACGTGGGAGCATTAAGCAGTTGTTACGCATGCGGCAATTGCGCAAGCCAACCTGGATTGTGTTTCATTCACTAGTATTTGAACAAATGGCATCTTGCACCATTCGATCTTTACGCACGGCACGGCCGCCACCAAGCCAACGGCTGTGGCTGACTGATAGCGATGATTCCGAATAGAGCAACCAAAGAATGATCGTCCTAAAATTATAGCTCAACGTCGGAAACAAAAAAGTCGTTTTCCTCGTGATTCTTGCAATTTGTAATGCTGCACACTTCCAACTCTGTGACCTGGCTGCACAAACGTGAAGACGAGCCAAGATGGTCCTGGAAGAAAGCATGGCGGAGGTAGCTAAATTTCATCAATCCGTTTATTGACAACCACACCGGCCTGGCTGACTCCGCCATTCATATCGCTGGTAACGCTAACAAGCTATCGTTGAACCTTGCATACCACATTAGCTATAACGCAGAGCTTAGATCCGCTGGAAATAAAACCACACGTGGCTTCTTAGAGGACGCAGCACTATCCTTATCGTGTCGAAAAGTACTGAGTGCTAAATGTGATCTTTAAATGAATGCATACACATGCCGTCGCCTTCCCGTCCTTTTCTTGCTCTATTCTCTGGAACAGGAAAGATGCGCTGACATAAGTACACATGCGAAATCTATTCCAGAATGTGGCGGGATTCTGGTCGACCAACAAGGCACCATTAACTCACCTACACACCCGGAGCAGTACCCAAACGGCATTACGTGCAGTTGGGTAATCCACCGACCTCCAGGTGAGAATAGGAACACTCCGGACCACACCAAACCGCCCCCCAGGTGAGAATAGGAGCACTCCGGGGCACACCAAACCGCCCCCCAGATGAGAATAGGAGCACTCCGGGCCACACCAAACCGCCCCCCAGGTGAGAATAGGAGCACTCCGGGCCACACCAAACCGCCCCCCAGATGAGAATAGGAGCACTCCGGGGAACACCAAACCGCCCCCCAGGTGAGAATAGGAGCACTCCGGGGCACACCAAACCGCCCCCCAGGTGAGAATAGGAGCACTCCGGGGCACACCAAACCGCCCCCCAGATGAGAATAGGAGCACTCCGGGGCACACCAAACCGCCCCCCAGGTGAGAATAGGAGCACTCCGGGGCACACCAAACCGCCCCCCAGGTGAGAATAGGAGCACTCCGGGGCACACCAAACCGCCCCCCAGATGAGAATAGGAGCACTCCGGGCCACACCAAACCGCCCCCCAGGTGAGAATAGGAGCACTCCGGGCCACACCAAACCGCCCCCCAGGTGAGAATAGGAGCACTCCGGGCCACACCAAACCGCGTTTCAGGTAAGACTACCCGATCCACTACGAATTTCCCGTTCTTAAGCCGGGGCTGGGTGTCAATTCTTTTATGTGATTTAGGATAGGTCAAACGAAGCAAGTGGATGTCAAAGATGATCTTGGTAAATACGTCTTCATCAGGCTCCCTTTGACTAACTAGGCGTTAGACGACTGAACCTAGCCACATTCAGAGACACACATAGGATTTCGCAATGGAAGGGACAGCACAGCTCATCATATTGTCTTTAAAAAACGCAGTTGAATGCACCTACCAATGCGCAAAATTTGTCGCATGGCGTGAAAAATATCGTATTCTATCGATCTGTACAGTTGTACGCGTCTACATCGAATCCCTTATTGCCAATATGTATTCCCGCATTATTCATGGATGTAATGCATTTAATAAAGGAGCGTGTTTCCTCGAGCATGTTTCCTCCTTTGTAAGTACGCCCCATGGTGCATGAATAAAATTGCACCATCATGTGCATCATGCGAAGTGTTGAGCTGCATCATAATGTTCTATGACGTGAGGATAAAATGTTACCGACGTGACCTCGACAAAAGGGTCATTTGTGGTAACCTACGAGACAGAGCTTAAACTTTTCATGGAGCGTGCAAATGGGTGGAACAGTAGGTTTAAAAAGTTGCTCAAACCCTGCGCTTAGTGCTTGTAAAAGTGTCCCCAGCTTTAAAGTTCTTCGGAGGGAGGCGCGCCGAGGCCTTCATCCGACAGGGACGATAACCAACTTGTCGAACACATCATAGCCTATACCTATTTTCTTATATCGACGATGCACCGTGCTTTTCTCCAGAGGTACACAGAAACGTGCGATTCCTTCTCCTCAGTGTTGATAACAGAGTTAAATTTCCGGTTCTCTTGGCAAACTGAGTGTGTCACCAACTGAGGCTTCACATCATACGCAGACAGGCAATCGCTTACCCCAGATTAAAATAACCCGATCTCAGCCAGCGGTCGACAGATCCGCGACGATTCTCAGGTCTTTTGCCATCATCAGGACAATGCCATCTCGGGTCATGGGAGATTGAACTTGAACTGGATCTCCCCGGCCATTAACTCCGATCTCCCTCCTGCCTGTTCTCAGGGGAGATCGTGCGGCTAACCTGGTTATCGTTCTCGCTGGAGGCAGCGACTCGCACAGGCTCCTGTTACGACTCTGTGTCAGTGTATGACAACAGCACGGCGGCGGCCGGCACCAACGGCGGCCTCATCGGCAGACCGTGAGTGAGACCTGTCAACAGCGGTGGGCTTATCGTCAGACCGTGAGTGTGACCTGTCAACAGGGGTGGGCTCATCGGCAGACCGTGAGTGTGACCTGTCACCAACGGCGACCTCATCAGCAGACCGTGAGTGTGACCTGTCAACAGGGGTGGGCTCATCGTCAGACCGTGAGTGTGACCTGTCAACAGTGGTGGGCTCATCGTCAGACTGTGAGTGTGACCTGTCAACAGCGGTGGGCTCATCGGCAGACCGTGAGTGTGACCTGTCACCAACGGTGGGCTCATCGTCAGACCGTGAGTGTGACCTGTCAACAGTGGTGGGCTCATCGTCAGACTGTGAGTGTGACCTGTCACCAGCGGTGGGCTCATCGTCAGACTGTGAGTGTGACCTGTCAACAGCGGTGGGCTCATCGGCAGACGGTAAGTGTGACCTGTCACCAACGGTGGGCTCATCGCCAGATGGTTAGTGTGACATGCATCTCCGGCGAAAGCCCTTCGCTGAATATGACCTGCCTTTGTTGCCACGGCTCTTCCACGCGTGGGGCACACTTCTGCTGCGCTCTGCTCCCAGATTGAGATCAACGTCACAATCGCTTGTAGACAACTGTGTTGTGAGCTATTGGGTCAGCGACCGTAGCTGCATCAGTGTCTCAGCGTATTGATGCCTCTGATAACACCTATCCAGTGACGTTCCCCAGAGTCAATGTTCAAAGAGATTACTACACACTTCGGTCTTCTGGGATAGAACGTCCGCGGCTTACTTCGTTGTGCAAAGACTTCGACAGTATCGCCAGCCATGGATGCTACTCAAAACGCATTCCAGAAATGATACAAAACACAAGCCAAGTTACTTTTAGACGCTGCTTGGCATTTGTGCGGCATTTCGAAATGTTTCAGCGTTATCCATTCCTCCTCCGGACACATTGCTTAAAAACATGCTAGCGCTTGGGCTATTGATGGAATGAACTGCACCATCAGTGTCGCATGCCCAAGTGGGCAGTCTTATCCAATGAGATATCCAAAAGTCTTTGTTCAGATCCCGCGAGCTCTTTTTAATGATTTGCCTGCTGCACACTCTGCATCACCTTTGTGCCCTGAAAACTTCTCCCCCATCCATACCAATATATGCGCGCTCTCCATGTGTGTCATGATCGCCACCCGTAGAGGATGGCGCGAGTCTATGTCTGGATCGTCCCAAAGGTTGTGATGGTTCCGATATCTAGAAGTTGTGTAGAAATTAACGTCATCATAATCCGTGTATCTACTTGTGCTGTGCGTCTACCAAAAAAGAAAGAAAAAAAATAGAACAGTGATACAAACAGACCTGCTTTTCTGAATTGCTCACCCTGAAGATGCCACTGGACACTTGGATTTAATCGGAACGCCTGCTGTCGTTCACAAACGACCTTTATCCGCATATGACGATAAAAGTTTCAACGCTATGTGACTCTCTTGTGTTCACTCCCACAGGTACTGTGGCCAACGGCTGCCTCCCATCATGACCACGCTGGGAAACGTGATGACGGTGATATTCACATCTGACACTAGTATAACCCATGATGGATTTGCGGCCTCCTTCATCGGTCTGAACGCGTCCACACGTGAGTGCTTTGTCTCATGAAGGTACCAGAAGGGTTTTAGATTCGCTGAGCACATTTCGCGCGCAACCGTGGTAACACAAATGCCATTGCAAAGTCCATTGGCACACAAGTAATTCACGGAGGTGATGAAATTACCCGAATATGCTTCTTTATCCCTCTGCGCAGACACGAATTGGGCATGCACTTCCTTGTCTCGGAATACGTTTTATAAAGGCAAACTCGTGTCTTCTAACAACACGGTTGGCTGTTAACAGTTCATAAGTGCCTGTGTTCCGTTTCCAGTGTGTGGCGGGACGTACCACACTATTTCCGGCGTGCTGACTTCCCCGAACTTCCCGGGACCCTACCCGCCCAGCAAGGAGTGCACCTGGATCATCGAGGCGCCGCAGAACCAACAGATCATGCTCAACGTCTCCCACTTCGACATGGAGGATCACTTCGAATGCAACTATGACTACTTGGAGATCAGGCTAGTGTCAGGCTGTGACTACCTGGAGATCAGGCTAGTGTCAGGCTGTGATTACTTGGAGATCAGGCTAGTGTCAAGCTATGACTACTTGGAGATCAGGCTAGTGTCAGGCTGTGACTACTTGGAGATCAGGCTAGTGTCAGGCTGTGACTACCTGGAGATCAGGCTAGTGTCAGGCTGTGATTACTTGGAGATCAGGCTAATGTCAAGCTATGATTACTTGGAGATCAGGCTAGTGTCAGGCTGTGACTACCTGGAGATCAGGCTAGTGTCAGGCTGTGACTACCTGGAGATCAGGCTAGTGTCAGGCTGTGACTACCTGGAGATCAGGCTAGTGTCAGGCTGTGACTACCTGGAGATCAGGCTAGTGTCAGGCTGTGATTACTTGGAGATCAGGCTAGTGTCAAGCTATGATTACTTGGAGATCAGGCTAGTGTCAGGCTGTGACTACCTGGAGATCAGGCTAGTGTCAGGCTGATGACTGAGGATGACCGGGATCAGACCCGGCGACTGGACACTCCGCATGGCTTCTGTCGGCACTCGATCGTTCGGTTGCCCTCATACGCACCTGGCTGCGGCAGGTTGTCGGCGACCATTGCCGTAAATGAGTGGCCGTTAGTGTAGTGATGGTCCACAATGCTAGCCGAATGTGGTGACGGAGCTGATCCGCAATGCGGGTGGAACGCGCCTTGGACGGGAGTTACAGTCTCTCAACTGGGAAGCTGCGTGCGACCGTTACCAACACGCTGTCGCATCGCGAGGCCCGCTGGCGCACGAGCGCGGCTTGACCCGGGCTCAGACCTGCCCGTGTCTGAACAGGAACGGCGGCTCGGCGACGGCGCCGCTGATCGGCAAGTACTGCGGCACCAACATGCCGCGTCAGATCTCGTCGCACGCGCACCGGCTCTTCCTGCACTTCCGCTCGGACGGCTCACTGAGCGGCGCCGGCTTCCGCATCTCCTGGGACGCCACGGCCACCGGTAACGTGTTCTCCGGGACGCAACAGCTGAGCATCCGCCTACATATCAGCGCATGAGGCTCCGATGCCGATGCCGATGTTTCAATGTCGATGGCAATGCCCTAATGAATCGATTTGATTTAAAGGTCAGTGCCTAGCTCCCTGAATCTAACACACTGAGCTATCAGCTTATCGTGAAAAAATGATCTCAACTCAGGCTAACTAGTGAGGTTTAAGATTCATAACGGTTGTCTCATTACGAATAGGACTTCAACTTAGTACTGCAGCTTATCAAGTGCTTCAGCTCTGAAATGCGGGGTCTTCCAAGCATGTCAGTTCTAGCGATGTTAACACAGTACGCCAACCTGCAAATGACTCACATGAGACTCATCACGGCATCAACAGCTCTCCCACTGACCGATCATCAATGGGAACACGGATGCCACTGACTGATGACAGTGTATCGCCGCTGTTGTCCCGCGCCCAACAACGGCGTACTGCCCGAGCTCTGGCACCAGGCTGCCCGCTGCCCTGCGCCAGCTAACGGCAGCCCTGCCGTCGTCAGGCTGCGGCGGCCGACTGACCGGTCCCCGGGGCAGCATAATCTCGCCCAACTACCCGCAACCGTACGCCCACATGGCCGTGTGCACTTGGGTCATCGCTGGCAACGCCGGTAACAAAGTGCGCATCTCCTTCCTGGACATGGACATCGAAGGCAGCGACACGTGCAACATGGACTACGTGGCGGTGAGGGAGCCGGCGTCGGCCTCATCGGCGGGCGGGAGGGCGGGCGGAGGGGGGGGGGGGGACTTGGAGTATTCTCATGCCAAAGACTATCATGTTCTTGCGCAGTGTCAAGCGCACGGCAACTCTTTCGCAGACGCATTTTGCTCACTTTGCCAGTGACTAAACGGGCTAAGTTCGCTCGACACAAGCGATCCAGTAACCGCGAGCACAAGCCGAGAACCTACCGAGAGACGCCTGTGCCCGTCCTGGCCACCTCTCAGCTGAAGCAGACGCGCGATGCCATTGGCTGGCGGCCCAGACGCAGACAGGGAGCAGATCAGCGTCCTGGACAGCTCCTGCCGATGGTGCATGCTGCGCAGGCCTGGTAACCGATGACGAGCAGCTGCGGACGAGCCCTGACCCCGTGCCGCCTAACCAGGTATACGAGGGAGCCGGCCCCTCCGCCGTGCTGAAGAAGCGGGCGTGTGGCTCCGACCAGCTGGACGTCGTCGAGTCCAAGACCAACATCATGACCGTCAAGTTTGTGACGGACTTCTCGGTCAGCGGCCGCGGGTTCCACGCGCGTTACGTGATTGGTGGGTGCCAAGTGGAGGCGGCTGGCGGGAGCGTGTCGGGAACTGGCGGGGAGCTGACCTGGGGGCAGGCGTCCGCCTCATTACCGGAACCTCCCGGGTGCCAGGAAAGCGCGAGAAAAATCTCGATATTTGGGAAACCTAGCCTGTTGTTTGGAGTTTCTGAACGTGTGGACGAATGCTGTATTCTTCAAATATGTGTTCAGCTGCATCGTGTAAAGAGCTTTCACTCGCATTTAGTGTAAAGGCGCGGCAAGCATTGCAGGCACAATGCGTCGGAACTGTTTCCCAAGTCCTCTCATACGATGCAGTGTGACTTGTGTAAGAAACATGCATTGCCAGCTAGGTGACGCGACGCTTTTGCCGTTTCTTTGCTCTTGAACGGACCAGGCCACTTCAAGAAAAGGGAAAAGATACCCATGGCAACTAACAAACAAATGTTAATCGGCGCTCAGTTTTGCATCGGCTGCATCGCTGATTTGGTTTTAAGATTTTTAAATCACATGCAGAAATTAGACCGACAAAACCACCACACCGCAGAACATGGGCGGGAGCACATGTCTGACCTGCACCCTCGTGTCCCGCACAGACTGCAACAACATCGTGACGGGCAGCCACCGGGGCGTGATCGAGTCGCCGAACTTCCCCGAGCCGTACCCGCACGACCGTGACTGCACCTGGACCATCATGGCTCCGCTTGGCAACACGCTGAACATCTCCTTCTCCCACTTCGATGTCGAAGACCCCAGCTCGTCCGGATGCGAGTACGACTACATAGAGGTGAGGCCGCACGCGCCGTGGCGAACTGCCGCTCCCAGGCCGGGTTTGTGGGGCGTGGGTGGAGAACACCGTATGACAGAGAAGGCAATAAGGCAACACTAGCCCTGTTATAAAGGGGCGCTATGCCGGGTCTCGTACATCGAAAGACGCTGGCTCAGGCGACCATAGCGACCAGAACACCCCTTTCATACCGCGGCTTCTCACCGAAACGTGGCTAGCTAAGCCGCGCGGTGATGGTGCTCGCAGTCGTGACACGTCCACGATCCCCCGTTGGACAGATCAAGGAGGGAGAGAAGAGCCAGGCGCCCACGCTAATCGGCTCCCGGCTGTGCGGCCGCGACGGTCTGCCCGCCCCCATCTCCACCGCCAAGAACATGGCCTACGTCCACTTCAAGTCGGACGAATCTGTGGCCCACAACGGCTTCAGGCTGGAGTGGTTTGTGCACGGTGCGAAATGAGGGATGTGCTCGTGCCGTCTGAAGCATGCACACCTGCGCCCCGCGGAGTTCTCGGTCGGCCCTGGCCGGCTCGTCCCAGCTGCCGGCTACATGAGGCGGGGTCAGGCACCGCGCTATTACGCCGTCTTTTTAATTTAGTTGGACAGCGCAGCCATGCGCGTTTATAAGGCACACATTAAGGCACGGAGATGTTTATAGCAAGCCGCATGCGATGCGTAATCAACTTGGGCCTTAGCCAATGATCTTTTCATACGATGCCAACGCGTTGCTTAATCGCCTCACGTCTCAGTTGTCGCACACGTTGGTTGTCCCGAATGGCAAAGTCTATCCAACCAGACAGAATGCGGTTCATCTTTTCCAGCGGCGCCTATTGGCACCGTCTGATGTGACGGCCAGCCATCAGCTGCGGCGGACCCCCGTGAGGGGGGGGGGAGGGGACAGGCTCCGTAGGCGAGTGGCGTGCGGCGTGCCCTCCTCCGTGTCATCACCCACCGTCCCCTCAGGCTGCGGCGGCCTGCTGACCAAGCGCAGGGGCACCCTCCAGTCTCCGAACTACCCGCAGCCCTACCCCAAGTGGACCCAGTGTGACTGGCAGATCCGGGCCAGACCGGGCTACAGGGTCGAGCTGACCATCGACTTCTTCGACATCGAGTCGGCGCACAACTGCGCTTACGACTCTCTGAAGGCAAGCACCGGCTACAGCTGCGAGCGCCGGCTGCTGGCGGTGGTGGCGGGCTGTGGCGAACTTTGCCAGCCCAGGAGTGCATGCTGCTGTTAGTAGTGACGGGCTGGGGTGAGCTTTGCCAGCCCAGGGGCGCATACTGGAGGACGGTGAGACCAAAAAAGCTTCGTATCTATGCTAGATATGAGAAATAGAGGCATTAGCTTAGTGCTGCAAACCAATTGTGACATGCCCGTAATCCGCTCAATATTTGCTGACCTTTAAGCATACGGGCCTGGTATAGATCATAACACTCAGCTGCATCCCCTCACTTTACCTCGTGCGTGACGCACATGTGTGACCATTGCCAGGTGTTCCATCTTATCACTTCACCTTTGCGTGACACACATGTGTGATCACTGCCAGGTGTTTCATCTTATCACTTCACCTTTGCGTGACACACATGTGTGATCATTGCCAGGTGTTTCATCTTATCACTTCACCTTTACGTGACACACATGTGTGATCCTTGCCAGGTGTTCGGCGGACCGGACGACACGGCGCCAATGCTCACCAACCTCTGCCACGCCCAGACCGCCCCGTCCACGGTGATCTCGCAGGGCAACAACATGCTGGTCCGCTTCTACAGCGACGGCTCCGTCTCCGGCCACGGCTTCCACGCCCGCTACCGGGTCCGCAGAGGAGGTCAGATCCTCAGCAGAGCCCGCGGTGTCAACACTGTGCCCCGCTGTCTGAGAGAGTGCCACCCGATGTACTCTGCATCATGGCGCAGAGTGCACGGGAGGCCATTCACCCCTTTACATTACTGTGTTGAAAGGACATCTCATGTACTGCCGTGCTATGGCCATGAGCGGTGCCGCGCTTCTCTTTAGCCTCTTGTTAACAATCTGCTTGATATTTTTAGCCTCTTATTTATTGTTTAGTTTAGTCAACTTGTTAACGGTTGCTGTCGCCTCCGGGACCGGCTGTGTAGATGAATTGATCATGGACTTTGCCATATGGCTTCCGCGCACGGATCGTTCGCCAGCGCCCTGCTATACCACTCCACGGCCTGTCTCTCGTGCCACGTCTGCGCTCGCGTTCCTCGCGTGGTTTTGTGCGACACGACTCGCGCCTGCCGACGCCGTCCGAATGACCGGCTTCGGGTCTGATCCGGGAGTGCTGCACCTGTCCGCGAGCGTGACGTGGTGTGTCCCCCCCCCCCCCTCCCCCTCCCCCGGCAGGCTGTGGCGGGCGGTTCACGGCGGTGCGCGGCTCGATTCACTCCCCGAACTACCCGCTGGTGTACGACAGCCACTCGGACTGCACGTGGCGGATCAGCGTGCAGCGCCACCACACCGTGCAGCTCACGTTCGACGACTTCGACGTGGAGCCGCACACCAACTGCTCCTTCGACTACGTCGCCGTGAGTGGGATGGGCGCTGGCCGAAAGCGGTTTTGTGAAAGAGAAAACGCTGAAGGTGTACAGCCCGAAGAGGAAGGGAGTTTTGTCTCACCGATTGGCAGTGCTCATACTTGACGGGCCATCGCCGTTGCTTCGCTGTAGCATCGGCTTGAAGACGGTAGAGTGCTTCGGACTTGGTCCTCACGTGGCCACCTGCCTCCGTCCCCTCTGCCTGCGGGCCGACCTGACCTGAGCTGACGCCGGCTGCGGCAGGTCCGGGACGGGTGGTCGCGACGCTCGCCGCTGCTGCTGAAGCACTGCGGCAACCGCGTGCCCGAGCCGCCCACCGTTACCTCCACCGGCAGCAGAATGCTCGTCCGACTCAAGGCCGATGGCTCCGTGGCCGCCAAGGGATTCGTCGCTAACTACACCATGGTGAGGGGCGCCGCAGAGATCAAGCCATCCTCGGCCATGGTGATTGGCGTACCCTAAGATCTTGCTGTCTGCCGTCCAATGGAAAGACGAACAAGGCCTGCTTATTAGCAATGTTTCTGTCGCAAAATGGGACGAACCTGTTGCCTTATCATTGTTTCTGTTCTTTGCTTCCTGCTCTTTAATCTCTACCGGTAAGAATGAATTATGGCGATTGATGCAGAAATTCAATAAATCGTTGGTGCTTGATACCAAACTGAGCAAAATGGTGCAGCGACACCTGTAGCCTGTGGAGTGGTTATGAAGCAGCCGGTGCATTGCCCAGAGCTCCAAAGTTTGACATAACGAAGGTGTGTTGTTATTCTGCATACTGAAAATACTATTAGGCTGCTTGCATTCAAGAACGGACTATGCGGCACTGTTACATGCAGTCTATAAACTTGGCGAACCAGACTGTCTGTCTGTCGCCCGGAGTTGACGGCGCAGTTCGTCTGACATTGGCGGGCTCGGTGGCCTCGTTGTACTGCCAGGGTTGCGGCGGCACCATCAACGTCACTTCCATGGATCACATTTCGTCGCCGAACTTCCCGATGACGCACATGGGCAGCCTCAACTGCACCTGGATCCTGCAAGCCCCCCGACCCGGTGAGATCTGCGCTGGGAGTGCTGCACTGCAGGACTCGTGGTGTTCGCAGCGAAGCGGGGTGGAAACACTGATGATAGCACGAACATTACGTGAGATAGGACACGTGGCGCACTTCGCTCGTGTACCTTTGTTCAGGAGCTTTGGTGTGTACATCATCTTTGCTTGGTCGCTAAGAGACTTCAACCACAACTCTTCATCCTAACGCACGGAACAGATAGCCGGCAAAGTAAAATAGTCACACTGTCGGTGCACCATGACACACAAATATCCGTTTGACTGTAGGGCGCCTCGACCGCTGCGGTCGTGCAGCGCCCATACATTAGTGTTCATACAACATGCAGCCCCAGCGCCGGACGGTCTGCAGCGTGCGCGCCAGGCACCTGACACGCCTCCCGCGACAGGCGACCACGTGTGGATGCAGTTCAACGCGCTGATGCTGCACAGCCAGCTGCCTTCTGCCAACTGTTCGTACGACTACCTGGAGGTGCGGGAGGGCACCGGCCCGGACGGACCCGTGCTGCACCGCTACTGCAGGTCACAGCTGCCGCCGGCGGTGACCTCGCGCGGCGGCGCACTTCGGCTCCGGCTGCAGGTGTCGGCCGGCGTCGGAGTCCTCTTCAGCGCCGGCTTCTCCAACGTCTCCACCGGTATGGCCGACGTGCGGCAGTCAGCTGCAGGGTTAGCAGCATGTTCTGCGGGGTGGCGAGATGCCGCATTGGACGGTCTGGTACCGCCTAGAGGGGTCAAAGTCTGTAGTTCGACCTTTGCCGATGCGTCCGGTGACAAGATCATACCATGATGTGACGTTCATTGTCACCCGTGCCGCATGTAGCCCAGTAGAGCCGGGTCCAGCGAGAGGCTCGAGAAGCACCTTTTCATACTTATGAATTAGGACGGAAATCCCCATGACAAACATGAGTATATAAGTAGAATGATCCATTATAAGTCCATGTGCTCACCCACGAACGGCTCCATGCATACACATGGCAGTTGTGTCATGCGTCTGAGCCAAAGCGTCACATTTTTTGAAGTAAAGGATGCAATGCAGAAGATATCTCGGAAGATTCAAAGATAGGCCGTTTACGCTGTGGCAGTTCGCTGTGCAGCAACCCAAACTTCCACACGGGCGATGACCCCCGAACCGTGCGGGACTGGAAGGAGATGACCCCCGAACCGTGCGGGACTGGAAGGAGATGACCCCCGAACCATGCGGGACTGGAAGGAGATGACCCCCGAACCGTGCGGGACTGGAAGGAGAGAGTGCGACACCTGTGCCCCGCCTGACGATCCCCCCGCTGGTGTTGATGGACAGGCTGCGGCGGCCGCCTGGCTGCCGAGACTGGCCTGCTCGCCTCGCCCAGCTACCCCGACAGCTACCCCAACGACGTCGAATGCTGGTGGAAAATCTACGCCTCTGCGGGCAACGGCATCCACCTCAGCTTCCGCACATTCCAGATCGCTGAGACAGACTTTTGCAACGGCGATTATCTAGAGGTAAGGCGAACGTGGGTAACAGCTACATATACCTGGTGATTATCAACTCAGGTCTGCCAGCTTACACGTAGGTATGGGTTGTTATGCTATGCGATGCTACTTTACTATAACGTGCTTGGTTACGTGTGATCGTTATCTGAAATGCATCTGTAGCGTTACCACATCACGGCGATCGCTGGCCAATGGGCCGGATAAACATTGCGTTCGCGTAAACATGAGCACATGACACGAATGTTTCCAACAGCCCCGGGCGTGGACACCGTGCAGATATGTCGCCTTCCATTTCAGTGGAGCTCTGTATTGAATGTGCACTTCAAAAGCCAGCATAAGTAGCTGAAAACACCTGAAATAACATCGCTCATCCGTCGTAAGCTATTTCTCGAAGGACAAACTATGTGGACGACATCGGTTATTTTGGTGTATTTATTCTCGTTTTGGTTTTACGTAATTCATTCGATTGCCCACCTTAAGCCTCGTTCCATTTAACAGTCCAAATAAATTTTAAAATTTCATAGTCTTGGCATATTTGCAAAAAGCAAGGTTCCAAAATTCCGTCCGGCCTTGCGTTTGTCATTTTAGCAGACACACTGGACCATAGACAAACCATGAAAAGCGCCCTTTAATACTTCACAATCAAAGCAATACTCAAGCATTCAGTGCGACGCTGTTGGATCTCCATGACTCGTGGCACGCTCGGCTGAGCGGCGGCGTGCTCAGTCCTGCGCCAGCTGACTCTGCGCGTGTGCGCCGGCAGGTGCGGGAGCGGACTACGGCGGGACGTCTGCTGGGTCACTTCTGTGGCTCGGAGGCCCCGACGAACGTCAGCTCAACCGGTTCAATGATGGTTCGGTTCCATTCGAATGAGGCAGGCACGGGGTCCGGCTTCCTGGCCGAATTCGCCACAGGTGCGAGGGTCCAATATCTTCCGTGTTGCGGGCGTAGATGCAGGATGCCTGCAGATTTGGTTGCCGCCGCTTTATCTATGTTTAAAATATGCTAGCCAGAACCATTTGATTAGATGAATTTCTGGGACCGTGTTTCCAGCCTCAGGTATGTAATGTCCATCAGTGTTAACGGCTGTCGGCATAAACGGTGTTGTAGTACAACCTATTTCAAAACACTATCCGTAAGTCATTATCGATCGGTTACAACATACATCACTAAGCGACGATCACCTACCTGCTGCGCCGTGATGTTTTGCGTGCTCAATATGAACGTCCCGTTAGCGAGACTCACGCGTCGGTGCGTCGTCCTCGACCCGCGGTGCGTCGTCTGCCGGTGTCCGCTGCTGTCGGCGTCGCATGACGGACGGCCGGACACCGGGCCGTCGCGGGCCGCCGGTCACACACGCCGGCCTCGGTTCCAGCCCGCCGCATGGACCTGTCGGGACCGTCCGGTGCGATCGAGTCGCCACTGTTCCCCCTGCAGTACCTGCAGCGGAGCCAGTTCTCCTGGAGCATCACAGTTAACAGCAGCCAGTATATCCAGATCCGGTTTGTCATGGTGCAGGCGGACCTGGACCCCATCGACGGCGGATGCCACAGCTACATTCAGGTGCGGGCAGTGCGACACGGACGCGCAACAGTTGCGCGTGCAATCCTGCAAGTATCGTCGAGCTCATCGCCCAGGGCCGTTTCGCTCTTTGCCTGCTATATTTAGAGCATCGATTGTTCCGTTCCAACCATGACATTTTTCCGGGTAATGCGGACAGTGTCTCATGTACAGCTGGCGATTTCCGGTGTCAACGGGATTTGGTTCCGGTTCTCAAGCACGGAAAGACATGCATTTCGCTTGAAAAGGACACTACGCTGTGTTACAAGTTGAACGCTGGTGCATAGTGCATAACAAACACAAGTGTGTGGGCACAAGTAATATTCAGACAATACGCCAACAAGAACAGGATGCTTGGCACATTATTGGTCACATCATGACAATGATTCACGTGTCGTGTCACACCTCAAACCACAGATGCGGTCCGGGGGGTGGGGGTGGGTGCGGCGAGGGGTTGGACAGCTCACTACCTTAGGCCCGCACTTTTTCTTTTGGTGCCATGAATAACGCTTGACCGAAAGTTCGAAATCGCCGTCAGGAATTCTGGATGAGCCCCGCCTCCACCTCTTCATCACCCACCCCTCAACAAAATCTTGGCTGTGCGCATATTCCAAAGCATGTTTGTGAAGACTCCCATCACAGCGTCAAACACATGTTGAACAACATCCTCGCTCAAGAGGCAGCAGCCCTGCCTCCAATGGTCCCGTGCAGCCCTGGATCCCTGTCATCCCTGTAAGCCATCCTCTCCGCGACCCACACACAGACCCGTGCGACCTTGTGTAGCCTCTGTGACCCGTGCGTTACTCCTGTGACCTGTGTGTGACCTCTGTGCCCAGGGCGTGACCGCTGTGACCCGTGTGCGACCTTTGTAACCACTGGCGACCCCTGACACCTATGCCTGCCGGTCAGGTGTATGACGGGCCGGACCGGTCGGCGCCGCCCCTGGGCGAGCCCGTCTGCGGCATGGACCTACCCGAGCCACTCGTCTCCTCCTCCAACGAGGTGCTGGTCCACTTCGTCAACCGACCGCGCTACTCAGGCTCGCGCTTCAAGCTGCGCTGGCAGCAGCTGAGCCAGCGGCCTCCGCCCGGAGACGTTGCGCAGTCCGGTCAGTGTCGGTTGGGTCCGGGCCGACCAGAAATTACCCGCTTTTGCTTGTGTTTTTTTCCGTTTGACATCCTGTACATGTAGGCTGTCAACAACACCGCCCTCACGTGCTGTATTTCTCTTGAAAGCAGCACCTATTACGGTGCCGATTGGAAACATGTGATCGACAGTGTTACGATATCTCCGAAAACCATACCGAAAAGATGCTGTAAAAGATGCAAAGATGTTCTGCAAAGATGTTGTGGCGTTTGTCTTTCCTAACTTACAGAGTTACAATGTGAGCAAAATGGGGCGACAGTCAAGCGGGTCTATGCCGAACTTACCAGACTTTGAAACGGAGATGACCACTGCTTCGGGTACCCGGAAACTCGCGTTCTTCCCGGAACGGGTTCGAAATCGCGAGTTGCACGTACAGCGCACATGGTGGCATGTAACGTAGCATATCATTATAGACGTGATCCGGCTGCTCCGAAATGTGATGCAGCATCCTGTCTTATGACCTTAGCCCGGGAAGCGTAAAAGGCTCAGTGTAGAACATCTGTTCGCAAGTTGAGCAGTCAACCCCGCCTTATCCTCAGCCGGCTCCGAGACCCAGAAATTTGCGGATCCGTCGTGCCGGCTTCGCTGCGTCCTAGCCGCGCACCAGCGATCTCCTTTGCTACGTCGGCCGAGTGTGAGACTTACTGGCGGTAGCCTGGCGGGCTCCCCGCGGCCCGAAAATTCGGACCAAAGTGAGGTGCTGAAGAGTACTCCCACTGACCATCCGCCAGCATCCTGCCTGACACACGCTGCCTGTGCTGCGAGCCGCCGTGTTGGACGATCGCCTCACAGGCTGCCGGTGGTGCGGCATCGACAGGGGCCGACTCCTGTGCGTACACGCTTTACCTGGCCGAGGGCAACCGTACCGACATCACCTCGCCCAACTTCCCGGGCGGCTACATGGGCAACCAGTTCTGCAGCTGGACCATCAGCTCGGATCCGCACAGGCGTGTTCAGCTGCGCGTCAACACCGTCGACCTCTTCAACTACTTCCAGTGCACCTCGGACAACATCACCGTCTACGACGGTGGGAACTGACACTGGGTGCTGGGTGCGCTAACACTCGACGGTAGCGACGCTAGACTGATTGTGGAAGCGCTTTTCTGCCGTTATTTGCTGTCCATACATCGTGTCAAAGGCATTGGCCATTGAAACCTGCCACGGGTGCCGTAGAATGCTGGTATCAATTTTATGGGCTGGTAGATTAGGTGACGCCTTAACTGAATGCGCTTCGGGTCTCCTGTGAAACCTGCCGCCCCGACAGCTGACGCTGGTGTTGCGTCGCGCTTTAGGTCACCAGGGGACCGCTAACTGGGTCCCGCTGGCAACACTCTGCCGCCGCTCTGAAGGCGGCACGACCCTGGCAGCTAGCGGGAGCCTGCTGAAGCTCGAGTTCGCCGCGATGCCCTTCTACCGCCGTCACACGCAGGCCGGCTTCAACGTTACCGTCGATACGGGTGAGGTTTGCTGCTGCAGGCGCCACACAGCACTTCTCCGCAAAGGCTCCTCCACGCCCTGCCTCCACCTGTGCTCTGCCAACCTGGAGGTTCGCGGAAGTCCTTCATATACGCGAGGTGTAACGGTTCGCCCGGGTCCGACCGTCAGTGTGCGGCGGCTTCCTGACCGACCCGAACGGAGTGGTGAGCAGCCCCGGCTTCCCGGCACGACACGAGGGCAGGCTGACCTGCGAGTGGACGCTGCTCGTGAGACCCGGCCGCACCATCCTGGCCGAGATCACCGACCTCGACATCCCCGGAGACTCGTCATGTCCCAACGGATACGTTGTGGTGAGGCGAGCGGCTGCACGCCGATCTCAGCAGTGCCCTCTGCAGTTTTACACCAATGGGAGCTGTAACGTGCTCGGTGATGTTCCGCTCTTTCTGCTGCCATATTTGGAAAACTTCCTAAAACATTCCATATAGTTGAATTGCAAGTGCGCGATACAACACTTAAGTACCACGCTCAGCTCTCGTTCTTCCACGCAGTATTCGAGATCCGACTTTGTTGTGTTTCCTCTCCTCCGGCTGAAAACAAACAGGTCGAATTATCTCGTCTACAATTGATCCCCGCCACGTCAGTCTGCCCCGCCTTCTGCGGAGCCCGACCCGTTCGCCGCGTCAGACTGCTGGCATTCTGCGAAGCCCGACACTTTAGCCACGTCAGACTACTGGCCCTCTGCGGAGCCCGACCCGTTCACCGCGTCAGACTGCCTCGCCCTCTGCGGAACCCGACCCGTTCGCCGCGTCAGACTGCTGGCATTCCGCAGAGCCTGACACGTTCGCCCTCCTGCCGCCAGATTCGCAACGGCGCGGAGCTGGACTCACCTTACCTGGGCAGCGGCCGCTTCTGCGGCGGCGCGGTGCCGGAGCTGCCCGAAAGCTCCAGCAGCCGGCTACACGTGAAGCTGGTGCTGACCGGCCCAGCAGCAGCCGGCAGCTTCCGGCTGCGGTACCGCGCATCGGCGGCCGGCTGCGGCGGCCAGCTGCGGCTGACGCGCGCCGAGCCGCAGCTGGTCATCAACACGCCCAACTATCCCAACGTCCCGCCGGCCTTCTCCGCCTGCCAGTGGACGGTCGTCTCGCCGGCTACCACCGCCGTCAAGGTCGATTTCATGGAGACATTCGACATCACTTCGTCCCGACGGTGAGCGGTGGACGGTGGCTCACGCTGATGACCTGACGACGGTCCTGGATTGCTCAATCCCGCACAAGGTGTCGAATGCGGCTGCTAAAGAGATGGTATGTTTGCCGCCTTCTAGCGTGTTACCCGCTTCCAGGCAACTAGAAAACGGAAACGCCGGACATTCTCAGCCGTCAGCAGCTCCCTGTCGGTCTGAGAGGCCGTGCTCAGAGAGGCATGCTGTCAGGCGCCCTGGATGTTTGAATACCGTGTCGGCGACAGCGGAGGCCCTTCTCGGCTGTTTGACGGACATCGGCCGTCATTGCCAGGTGCCGACAGGCGTACGTGGAGGTGCTGGACGGCGGCACCGAGCTGGCGCCTAGCCTGGGCCGCCGGCACTGCTCGGACAGGCGACCGCCCACCAAGACCACCTCCGGCAACGCCGCCTTCATCAACTACTACACTAACGCCACCGAGCCGCGCATGGGCTTCAAGGCGCGTGTGTCCATCGGTGGGTGCTTGGGCGTCGCGACGCGCTCAATGTCACACACGCCGGCGTGCGTCACTGCAAATGATATGCGCAATGTCAGATACGCCGCCGTGCGTCACTGCAAGTGATATGCGCAATGTCAGATACGCCGGCGTGCGTCACTGCGAATGATATGCTCAATGTCAGATACGCCGGCGTGCGTCACTGCAAATGATATGCTCAATGTCAGATACGCCGGCGTGCGTCACTGCAAATGATATGCGCAATGTCAGATACGCCGCCGTGCGTCACTGCAAGTGATATGCGCAATGTCAGATACGCCGCCGTGCGTTACTGCGAATGATATGCTCGGTGTCAGATACGCCGGCGTGCGTCACTGCAAATGATATGCTCGATGTCAGATACGCCGCCGTGCGCCACTGCAAGTGATATGCTGAAGGGTGGCGCAGCGCCTTGAGTTAGCGTGTTGGGGGAGGAAGGAGAGACTTGGCCGGACGTCCTGCATAGCTGTTGCCTTCTATAAGAGCTCATATCATCTAACAGCAGTCAATGAAAATAAGTGATGCTCGGGCTGCAAGTGATATATGATAGTGATAGTGATAGATGGTTGTTCTTCTTTTTAGTTGATGTTTGCTTATCACTTGAAACATAAGTTTCTTCTGGCTTAATGTTTGCCTAATAGGTATCATGGAGAACGTAAAACAACTAACCTGATTATTTCAGCCTTTACAAACATTGCGTCTTTCTCCAGCAACCTGTGGTGGTACCTACTACGGCAGAAGGGGCTCGTTGACAATATCAAGAAATGCATACACCACAAACAGGAACTGCAGCTACCACATCATGGGACCCTCGGGCCACTATATGCGTCTGTGGTTCCGAACACTGGACCTTGAGAGCAGTCCCAACTGCACCAGGGACTACGTCGAGATGCGCGACTTCAACAGCACAGGCAAGGCCATACCTCCTGAAGACTGTCAGCAGTGGGTAACCTGTAAATGAAGATCCCAAAAAACAGTTTCTAAGTCTAAAGAAAAAAGCTGGTCAAAATCTCCGATGTCCATTCCTTCGCCTCACCTTCAGCCCCGGGTGATATTAGTTTGCACTATTTGAGTGAAAATATCCATGAAACGTTTGAAGCGTTTCTGAGGTAAATGCTTGCATCCGCTGCCGCTGCTGATATCACTGACGGTATACCTGATCCTCCACTTCCCCAGGCGAGGTGCTGGGTCGATTCTGCGGCAGCGAACGTGGTACCGGCGTGGCAACCTCGGCCAATTCCGTCCACGTGACGTTTGTAACGGACGCTCACCAAACGGACAACGCGGGCTTTCTTATGAGGTTCCGGGCCAGCATGGAAGGTGGGCGCACGTCAGCAGCAGAGGTGGTGGCAGTCCTTTGACTGCGGTCATTGCCACGGGGGACTGCTTACAGCGCTGGGAGCGTCACACACGAGGCTAATGTTCTACGCAGGTGCCTCGGCGATTGCGGCGCTGACTCACGGATGCGTAGTGATATTGGCTACCTTGAAGTTGTGTTGGCTTCGGTAGGTATTGCTACCAGTGAGTGGTAGTGTGTCAGTAAGTGACGGCGTTCGTAAACGCTGACACCGGTGCGTGACCTCATGAGCGAGTCTTGCCGCCAGTGCACGTCAAGCGAGTTAGCGAGATCTGTCTGTGGCCGGATACCGCAGTCAGTAAGTAACCATCATCTTTATCTGTCTTTAGCGCGTGCTGTCATCAGTACGTGGCGCCATCAGCGCGTGTCGCCGTCAGCTCGTGCTGACATCAGCGCGTGCCGCCATCAGCTCGTGCTGCCGTCAGCGCGTGCTGCCATCAGCGCGTGCCGCCCTCAGCTCGTGCCGCCGTCAGCACGTGCCGCCGTCAGCTCGTGCTGCCGTCAGCGCGTGCTGCCATCAGCGCGTGCCGCCGTCAGCGTTTGTTGTCGTCACCGCGTGCCGTGGTCAGCGCGTGTGACCGGCGTGTGACGCAGCGGCCGGCCGCAGGTTGCGGTGGCTGGCGGTACGACTCGGCCGGCGAGCTCAGCAGCCCAGGCTACCCTCACGGCGTGCCGCGCCGGCGCCGCTGCATCTGGCGGCTGCAGGTGCCCGAGGGGCGCCGCATTCGCCTGGAGACCGCGGACTGGCAGCTGCCGCCGGCGGCGCGCAGCGCGCGCGGCTGCCGCTCTTGGCTGACGGTTCGTATGACGCGCCGCCACCAGGCGGGACATGGGTCTGACCTCGACTGACCTGGCGCTGTCGGGCCAGCCGCATGCGATTCTAGATAGTCAAGTACTGGCCCCAAAAAGAGGATGAATGCAAGGCGTGTAACTGGAGAGGTAATTTAGAGGTTCGTCTGATGCTCCGGCGTCAACTGTGATCACAGAAGACAACACTTCGTCGAAGCAGTTCACGGGAAACCTTGTATAACCGCCGGTAATGGTAAGGCCCATGAAAGGTAAACAGAAAAGATGACGTATGGACGCGAGTATATCTGCAATCACTATTGCATTTTACACGCAAAATCGGTATCCATACCCCGGCAAAGAGTTACGCCGTCGCTGCCACCTGTGCCTGCAGGTGTTGGATGGAATAGGCGCCTCGTCTCCCCATCTGAACTTCACGGAGAGCGCCTACTTCTACTGTGCGCCGGACGCACCTCCTGTGATCAACTCCACCGGCAATCAGATGACCATCATCTTCTCTTCGCGCGTCGGCAGCACCTCGGCGAGAGGGTTCCGGATGCGCTACTCGTCGAACGAGCCGGCCTGTGAGTATCGCAGCTGCAGCTCGCCGGATGCGCCAGCCGGCCTGTGAGTGTCACAGATGCAGTACGCTGAGACACTCGCAGGCCGGCTGCAGTCCGCCGGGTGCGCCAGCCGGCCTGTGAGTGTCACAGATGCAGTACGCTGGGACACTCGCAGGCCGGCTGCAGTCCGCCGGGTGCGTCCAATAGTTCAAGCCGGTTGGCGTAAGACGCCTTTTCCAGACGGCTCGTTTTGCTGTTGGAAGAGATGCACCCCGCTCCCTTTAACCCGGCCATGGTGATGCATACATATAAGGCAACCAGCCAGATACATACATATGAGAGAATCAGCCAGTGTCTGTACCCGTTTTCAGCAAATGCTATTTGACACAGATAACGCACTACGGTCCCGGGAAATATTCGGTATGTCTGTGTGCATGCTGTCTAATATGAAATGGGTGCCCAGTTTTGGTATACCACAGGCAAACCTCTTAATCCACACCATATAAATCGCAGCCCCTCTCCGTTGTGTATATCCGTGTTCACTGTGAAGCGACCGGTAAATTTGCAGCCTGAGGCGTCTGTTTCAAACTTGCCATCCTACGGCGGAGAGATAACCAGCGCACCTGACTGCAGCCGAATCACACGGTTACCGCTGCTGACAGTGTGTGGCCTCCCCAGTGTGCGGCGGAGCGATAACCAGCGCGCCCGGCTCCCTGGCGTCGCCCCAGTACCCGCTGCCGTTCGGAAGCCCTGCAGAGTGTCGCTGGCAGCTGACCCTGCCCAGCGTGGCCAACGCCAGCACGCTCGTCACCTTCAACGCCTTCTCGCTGCCCGACTTTGGCGAATGTTTGCATCTGAGTCTCCGCGTGAAGCCAGGTATAGAAAACGGAGCCTTGAAACCGATAGTGTCAGTCGTGTAGGTGTGACATCTCCTGCTGTCACAGTCTATCATAGCGCTCCCCATTCTTCGAGCAGCGCTTGTCAAGTTTACCCAGCTGCCACATTGCTTTTGGTTATACCTGTTTCAGTCAAGCCTCTTTGAATGGCTTTCGGCTTGCTATTGTTATTATTATTATTGTTATTATCACCATTATTATTATTATCATCATTAAAATTATAATCATTATTGTTGCTATCATTAGTATTATTATCACTGCCATTATTATTAGTATGATAACAATTATTCTTATTATTATTGCGAACCTTGGCGAAAGCCAGCGAGTAGCTTTTCTAACGCCGCGTCAGCACATATTACATAGATCAACACAGAACACGCAAAACATGCAAATGAGACTGAACGCCAGCGAAACACATACGATGTTTTGCAACGTGAGCGACTTTTGATAAAACTATCGCATGCAGCGTGCTCTTAGACCTGGCGTGATTCAGCTTGCTGTGGTCTCGTACTCCACTGCACCGACACCAACTGACGCGTGCTTCGCAGATGAGCTGGGTGAGACTACCGAAGTCGTCTGTGGAAACACAACAGTTCCTCCACCGCTCCACATCCCGTTCACGGATTTTCAGCTGACATATGCGGTAAGCCGGCTGGTGTTCATCCTTCGCGATGTTCAGCTTGTTTTACGAGTGGCGATGGCGGTACACGTGTGGTGGCGCAAAGTCAAAGAACCGAGGCTTTATTTTTCCTCTTTCGAATTTGACCACGACAGAATGATTTGTTTGACTATAATTTGATTTGCAGGACTCGGTTTTCACCAAGTGAGCTGGGTGAACTGCTGGTTCAGACCGAAGCGGTTATAATGGAAAACGAGTTGTGGTTTGAACAAGGTGGAGCACCTTCTGAAAACGACGTGGGGACACGAGAAAGATGCACAAAACCCTTCGCGGAAAGCGTGCTCTGCTGGTCCGCTGATGTGAATCGTGCCCACATTCCCCAGACCCTGGTCCAAACTATGACTGACGCGAAAGAAGGAACCATTGCAGAAGTTGAAGACCCTATCAGCGCACATCAGTGTATATACTCACTGTGACAGAGTCCCAGCAGAGCACATCATTGCGTTATCATTGTGACAGAGTTCCAGCAGAGCACATCAGCGTGCACTCGCGACAGAGTTCCAGCTGAGCACATTACTGTAATTGAGTCCCAGCGGAGCATATCAGTGTGTTCTCACCGTGACAGAGTCCCAGCAGAGCACATCATTGTGATAGAGTCTCAGCAGAGCACATCACTGTGATAGAGTCTCAGCAGTGCGCATCACTGTGATAGCGTCTCAGCAGCGCACGATCAGCATGTGTTCATTGTGACAGAGTCCCAACAGAGCTTGTCAGCGTATACTCATGGTGACAGAGTACCATCAGAGAATATCAACGTGTGCTCATTGTGCAGAGTCACAGCACAGCACGTGAGCGTGTGCTCATTATGACAGAGTCCCAGCAGAGCACATCATTGTGACAGAGTCCCAGCACAGCACGTCAGTGCTAGTGAGCACGTCGGCACTGCGCGCAGAGAGTGCTAAACTTTTATATAGAGCGACGCAGGATATCTCGTGTGTATCATCGGTGCAGGGCACATCCAGAGCTGGAAAGCTACACAACTCAGGTCGGATATGTGTTTGATGTATGACATGCCATAGTGTTCCCAACCATTTAGCGTGCGACTTTTAAAGTTTGAAAACAGGGGTGCTTCCGTCATGCATCAATTTTGGACAAATCCAGACGCCTCCACTATTGCTATAGATAGGGCGTCCCAAGATAAATTTTGCACACACAGCGTCTTTCACAGCAAGCGGGTAAGGAGGGAGCCATGTCTGAAGAGCTTATGCTGCGATGCTACTTGGTCATAATATACACTGAAATCGGGCTAGATTTGAAATTACCCGGTAAAGAGCTTGGACAGTGCCGATCGAGTGGCAAGGCAGTGTATTGATAGTATGCAGCGTTGGCACGAGCATGAATTTCCTGGTGTTAGGGAAATATGTAGTTAAAATGTGGAGCGCTGCTGGAGTTGTCCATAAATACGCTCATCTCATTTTTTTGGAGCTACCCACGGTCTAAATCCAGCCGCTGTCTCCCATGGTTGGTTCTCGTTTTTATCTTTACGTTTCAAATGTGACCGACTGTTTGGGTGGAAAGAAAGCAAAGTTCTTTCTGAAGACAGATTATTAATGGGACCAGGAACCCGCCACCCGCAAAAACCAGATTCCAGTCCAGCGCAAAGTTTCCACCAAAATGTTTCAAGGGCGTCTCGCTAAACCGTGACACACCGCGACTAGGATAACATGAATTTCCTAACCACTTGCTTAAAAGCGGTCAGAAATAAGTCACATAACCACGGTTTCGTGGATGCAAACCTGTGTACCTGCCACCCATTCGTCAGTGTCCAACGCCCAGCCAACCAAACTAGAGTTGAGGCTTTGGTGGGTTGCGGCGTGTTTCTCATCGCACGGTGTGAGCCGCGCTAGACCCGCGACCACCAACATGAGGTTGTCACCGTCGGCAGACGCAGCGGAGCCACAAAAGTCACCTGAGTAGTGTTGGTTGCCAGTAACCTTGATACATTGGCTTCGCCTTGGGGATAGCGGATGGGGTCAAAATCCCCGGTAATTTTAGGAAATGTAACGTTATGCACATGGGCGTTGATGAGCCATCTTAAATGGTTTGAGGGCCCACTTCAGCCCCTGACCTGTGGCGAAGCACCCGAGGCGATGTCTATACCGCTAGAATATGCTTGCTATTTGCTTTCAACAAGCCGTTTGTCTTACAGTCGATAAATGTCTCAATACTGTCGCCCGGTTTTAGCAGTTACTCACCTCACCATATTGCATCGCATTATTCTGCATCTCAGGCCAAGCCTCATCCCCAAATATCCCGGATATGCAACACATGCGGGGGAGCTGGGACATGACGGGATGATGATGATTGGAGTCCAGCGATGGTCCGTGACGCGGTCCTCAGGAGAGTCCTAGAGCTGGGACAAGACGGGATGATGATTAGAGCCCAGCGATGGTCCGTGACGTGGTCGTCAGGGGAGTCCTGGAGCTGGGACATGACTGGATGATGATGATTGACCTCCGACAGTGGTTCGTGACGCAGTCCTCAAGAGAGCCCTGGGGTTGGGACATGACTGGATGATGATGACTGACCTCCGACGGTGGTTCGTGACGCAGTCCTCGGAGAGCCCTGGAGCTGGGACATGACTGGATGATGATGATTGACGTCCGACGATGGTCCGTGACGCAATCCCCAGGAGAGCCCTGGAGCTGGGACATGACTGGATGATGATGATTGACGTCCGACAATGGTCCGTGACGCAGTCCCCAGGAGAGCCCTGGACATCATTCTTCAGCCTGACGTATGCCGTGAAGCCGTGCGGAGGCCTGGTCAGCGGACCGGGGCAGCGCATCTACTCGCCCGGCTATCCGTCTGATTACCCCAACGGCATGGACTGCGCCTGGCTGGTCGAGTTCGAGCACCAGCAGACGGCTCGGGTAAGTCCGCAGATGCGCTGCAGGTGGTGAGCTGCGCAGCATGACACTTATAATCACTTTACTCCGATGGCATGATTAGAAGGAGCTTGGTGTGTGCTGCTCCGCGCCGGTGATGCCGTCTTGTTACCAGGCATCACTCCGTGCTTGAGTCCAAAGGCTAACCCTTCCGACCCGCGAATTAGTAAAGTGGGATCGAACGCGTTCATTAGAACCAGCAGGGTTAGACCGGCATTTTGATTTTCAAGTGAGGGTTCCGTCGCAGCAAATAATTTGTGTTTTTTATTTCTGATGGCTTTATAATGCTGATTGACATCTCGTATCGTTGAATTTGTCAATGCCCAGCGCGTTTTGCTGTATACTTGTGGTGTTGGTGTTAGTGCAGTGCTCCAAGAATGAGACACGTTTTCGTGGTGTTTTTACGTTGACCATGGCGTTGCCAAACTGGGCTCAACATGGAGCATAAATTAACGCGTCCATACTTGGTGAGTCAGGAAGATCAGCGATCAGCCGAACCATTCCAATTGCACAACTCGATATTCTGGTCTTTTTGAACGTTACAGGACATTCCGGCTTACGCCCAACGGTCCTGCTACGACAGTCATGAACAAATTCCGCGCCGCTTCTTCTGCCAGTCCATTGGCCGGCTAGATCACCTAATGCTGCAGCGTAAACCCGATCCAATAAGCCGTGACTCTGAATACTGATTCGTCATCGACTCGTGCTACTGAATACTGAGCTGGCATCGACTCGACCTCGGACGGACGCAAGCTTCAATGATTGGTTACCCTTTAGTAAGCATGTGGATGGGAAAACGCGGCCGGTTGGCGGTTGGACGGCCATACCTCCTGTAGCCGGAGCAAGCTGCAGGCCCGGTGCCCTGACATCGGCTATATTTATGTTCTTGTCTCATTTTAATCTGACTGGTCGTAGCCCGGTCGATCGAGTGCCCCATCCGGAGTTATGTGACCACGGGACAGCAGGCCCTAAAAGCGCACATGATGTGCCCTGAAAACAATTCGATCGTCTGAACTATGCATCGAAAGCCTAAGATGGCGTTCCCTGTGCCACGTCCGTTTGAGGACGCTGCACCGGTCGGGCCGTAGCTCGCCTCCTCTAGACGGCCTCATCGCCCTCGCCCCCCCCCCCCCCCCCTTCCCACCTCATCACCCTAAGCCGTTGGACTGCGGACTGCGGTTGCCGTGACGTACAACGGCAGGTTCTCAGAGCGCCTGCAGCGCGTGACACGGCCGGTCGTCTTCAGGTGCGGTTCGCCTGGGTTGACCTCGGCCCGGGTGACTACGTGTCGGTGCTGAACGGGCCGGGCTCAACGTCGCCGCAGCTGCGCCGACTGACCGGTTCCTCCACGGCGGCGGTGGCGCTGCACGGCCAGTCCAGCCGGCTGCTGGTGGTGTTCCACAGCGACAGCTCCGGCCAGCACCGCGGCTTCCAGGCCGAGACCGAGTCAGGTCAGGGCGGGTGGCTGGGGTCCGGGGCGAAGGCAGGCGGGATCAAATCACGGGCGGGGATCCGTCGCGACGGAAGGCCAGTTAGAGCTGAGAACAGGTCGGCGAGTTCTGTTAGGGACAGGTTGGTGAGACGGGGATGGGCCGGCCGAGGCAGTCGTGACCCTGTCAGAGCGCGCCCACAGGTATGGAGAGTCGTGACCCTGACAAAGCCCGCCCACAGGTGAGGAAAGTCGTGACCCTGACGGAGCCCTCCCACAGGTGAGGGTAGTTGTGACCCTGTCAGAGCCCGCCCACAGCTGAGGGTAATCGTAGCCCTGACGGAGCCCTCCCACAGGTGAGGGTAGTTGTGACCATGTCAGAGCCCGCCCACAGGTGAGGGTAATCGTAACCCTGTCAGAGCCCGCCCACAGGTGAGGCGAGTTGTGACCCTGACGGAGCCCTCCCACAGGTGAGGGTAGTTGTGACCCTGTCAGAGCCCGCCCACAGGTGAGGGTAATCGTAGCCCTGACGGAGCCCTCCCACAGGTGAGGGTAGTTGTGACCCTGTCAGAGCCCGCCCACAGGTGAGGGTAATCGTAACCCTGTCAGAGCCCGCCCACAGGTGAGGCGAGTTGTGACCCTGACGGCGCTCTCCCACAGGGGAGGGTAGTCGTGACCCTGTCAGAGCCCGCCCACAGGGGAGGGTAGTCGTGACCCTGACAGAGCCCGCCCACAGGTGAGGGGAATCGTAAACCTGACATACCCACGCCCATAGGCGGGGGGAGGTCGTGACCCTTTTAGAGCCCGCCCACAGATCAGAGGGGTCGTGAACCTGTCAGAGCCCGCCCACAGGTGAAGGGGGGGGGAGGTCGTGACCCTGTCAGAGCCCGCCCACAGGTGAGGGGAATGGTGACCCTGACATACCCACGCCCATTGGCGAGGGGTCGTGATCCTGACAGAGCCCCGCCCACAGGGACTGGCCACCAGTGTTCACCTCGCCTGCAGCTGCAGGGCTGGAGTCCACAGTGCATGTGGCACGCAGTGATTCGCCACGCCCTCGCCCCCGACCAGGACGGCTGCGGCAGAACACCGGTCTGTTGGTGGGGCCGCAGCGGCCTCTGTGGCGCCATCTAGTGAGCTAACTGTGCCGGCGACCACAGGGTGCGGAGGCGTGTACCACACAATGGAGGGCGCTGTGGAGTCTCCCGAGTTCCCGGCTGACTACGCAGCCTCCATTGAGTGCGAGTGGGAGGTGCGCGCGCAGCCGGGCTACCGACTCCAGCTCCGCTTCGTCCAGAAGTTCGACCTGGAGACCAGCGAGGGATGCCAGAATGACTTCGTGCAGGTCAGTCGTGGACTGGGCTGATCAAAAATTGCATGGCGATGCATAGTCAGTCCATAACTTAGGTGAAGCAAGTGTTGGTAGACTTTTATTCCTGCCTTCCATTCTCAAGTTTTGCCAAATCCGGCATTGAACCCTTCTAAAAATGGTGTAAGGCCAAGCCATGCCTCCCCCCCCCCTCCCCTAATAGCAAGCATGGAATCGTTTCCAGGGACGGCGCGATCACATAGATGCCAGAGACTGTGCACGAGGGCGGAGGTCACTAGCTGCTTAGCGGGGTCCCACCTATCTCAGTTGGCTAGTAAATCTGCGTCTCAAAAGCGAAAAATTTACAGGTGGCGGCACCTTCATCTGTCATTATTTGAGCCTCCAGTTTCCTTTATTGACCTTGCTGACAACAAGAGAGACGGCCTTGTTCTAGGTCACCTCCGTAAGGCCTTCAACATTTAAAAAAAAACCACAGGACCCTCATTTTCCCGGAGCTACCTAGTCGTGTAAGATACTCGGTGACTTACATTTGAGGAAAAGGGTCTTCTTCTTTTTGATTTAATGTCATTCGCTGGTCTGCAAAACTGTGTTTCATGGCAAGTCTCCCGTCCCTGGTTTATTTCTTGCCGTGAACCAGCTGACACCCACACCCCTCCACCCTCCCCAGCGTCACGTAATTTACAGATGGGCCCACAGAGACCAGCGAGTGCGAGTGAGTAATCGAGTGAGTGAGTGAGTGAGTGAGTGAGTGAGTGAGTGAGTGAGTGAGTGAGTGAGTGAGTGAGTGAGGGGAGATGATGTCCAAGTTCAGCGTTGAAATATTTCGTTCGGTTGACCACATGCTGTCTGTCCACGCTGTTGTTGAAAAACCACCTTGCGTTATGAGGTATGGCCACAACGTTTGATCAACTGAGCTTTGACGACTGTTTACGCTCCATTGCATCACTACCAAGCCAGAATATACAAAAGTTGTGCTTCAGAGTCCAGCGCACAATACGCCCAATGCCGTTTTGGTGTGACTCTGACCTGGCTGTTGTTTCTAGAGCGTGACCAGTCGGTGTTCGCAGGTCTGGGAGCAAGTGTCTGCAGAGTATAGATCGCTGGGACGATTCTGCGGAAAGCAATTCCCTCCACTGATAACAAGCACCCGAAACATTCTGAAAATACGATTTACGACGAATAGTAACAACCACAATGGGAATGGTTTTAAGGTAAGTTGAACATTTGGCTGCATTCATGACTCTTTCACATCTTTTGAGCAAATGGATTAACACACATTTTAGTTGTTTACGGTAAGAGAGCCCTCGGTGAAAATTAAGGCTCGTTCAATTGCACCGGTGCGCTAATGTCTATATAAATATCGCAAAATCTTGGCAAAGGTACTTCGTGTTCTCACAAACGGTTTTCATCTGAACGAATGATTAGTGAACTGGTGATGGCACACTGCCCTCTTTCAGAACAGACATGTTATCGCTGAAAGCCTGGCGCAAACCGAAACTGATTCACGCAGTTATGACAATTTAGGGCCATAATTCTGGCAGGGTCGCTATATGACACACATCGCTATCTCTGCCACAGGCCCAATGGAGCGCGATCTGTGGAGAGGACTTTACGGGTGAAAGTGGTGAATTCAGCTCGCCTGGCTATCCTAATGGCTACAAGAACAATTTAGACTGCGTGTATCGCATCTTGACAATGCCCCAGGACTACGTGACTCTGAACTTTGTCGGTCCGTTCTTCTTGGAAGGTGAGGTGACTCACGCCATTGTTGACTTTATGGACAGGCCAATGATGTCATGCGCCGAAGTCACGTCCCGTGCATTGCTGATCAGGAATCGTGCGGGGGAGGGGGGGGGGGGGGGGGTATTTCGACCCGTCACAGCAAATCCTTTCTCATTCCTCTCTCCGGATTGTGCATTCCTAATGCCTCGGTGGCGCCCCAGCGAGCGAGCGAGCGGCGCTGGCTGGTGGCCCGTGTGCCCCGCTATCCCGCCGTCAGCCTCTCCCTCGACACCGGCACCCAGGGAGCGAGCGAGCGAGTGACGCCGGTTGGCCGGCTGTCCGCGCCCCGCCATCCAAGCGTGCCTCTGTTGCCCTGCCCACGCCGCGCCGCCCGGCGGTGGCCTGACGCGCGTATGCCGTCTCTCCAGATGCGGACGGCTGTCGGTACGACAACCTGACCGTGTTCGAGGGCAACAGCACGGCCGGCACGGCGAGGCTGAGCGCGTGCGGCGACCGGCGGCCGGCCCGGCTCAGCGTGCGCGGCCCGCTCACACTGCGATTCCGCACCGACTTCTCCATCGTCGGCGCCGGCTGGCACGCCCAGTACACCGTGTCAGGTCAGTATGCCGTCGGCAGAGTACACGGCTGTGTTACGTCAGTATGCCGTCAGCATAGTACACGGCTGCGTTACGTCAGTATGCCGTCGGCAGAGTACACGTTTGTGTTACATCAGTATGCCGTCAGCAGAGTGCACGACTTCGTTACGTCAGTATTCCGTCAGCAGAGTACAAGTCTGTGTTACATCAGTATGCCGTCAGCGAGTACACGCCTGTGTTACATCAGCATGCTGTCGGCAGAGTGCACGCCTGTTTTACGTCAGTATTTCGTCAGCAGAGTGCACGGCTGTGTTATGTCAGTATGCCGTCGGCAGAGTACACGTCTGTGTTACATCAGTATGCCGTCAGCGAGTACATGTCTATGTTACGTCAGTATGCCTTCAGCAGAATGCACGACTGTGTTACGTCAGCACGCCGTCGGCAGAGTACACGTCCGTGATACGTCAGTATGCCTTCAGCAGAGTCCACGTCTGTGTCACATCAGTATGCCGTCAGCAGAGTGCACGTCTGTGTTACGTCAGTATGCCGTCGGAAGTGTACACGTCTGTGTTACATTAGTATGTCGTCAGCAGAGTACATGTCTGTGTTACGTCAGTATGCCTTCAGCAAAGTGCACGTCTGTGTTACGTCAGTATGCCGTCGGAAGTGTACACGTCTGTGTTACACTAGTATGTCGTTAGCAGAGTACATGTCTGTGTTACGACAGCATGCCGTCAGTAAGGTACACGTGTGTGCTACGTCAGTATGCCGTCAGCAGAGTACACATCCATGTTACATCAGTATGCCGCCAGCAGGGTACACATGTGTGTTAGGTCAGTATGCTGTCAGTAGTAAATATATGTGCTGTGCGAAGATCTTCGGGTTGCTGGTACTCATGTGGACGACGTGCTTCAGCCTGTGGTGGTCAGATTACTGAGCCAGGCATCATACAGTCACCCAGTCATCCGACGGAGTACCACCGCAGCGCCAACTGTACGTGGTCCGTCACGGCGCCAGCTGGGCAGGTGGTGCTCGTGCGGTGAGTGACTGAAGCCGCTTCCTCGTCTTGCGCTGATCTGGCCAGATCTGTCCGTGGTTTTTGTCTGCATGCTTTTGAAATGCTCTTTGTTTCACCGCGGTGTGCCTCGCATGCTTTAAAAGATTAGAGATGGTTAAGAAACTCTGAACGATTCCTGATAGTTGCAAAAACACTTTTATTTTTTGACTGGTATCACTTGCCCTTCGCGTAAACGAGCTAACAACACGCTGTCGGGACCGACTTTGTGTTGTCATTTGCTTATCCACCCCCGAACTTAGATTGTGTCAACGAGTTGCTCTTGAATACCAGTGAACACGCCACTTGCATGCGTTTATCGGCAGATGTTTACGCTGCGTGCCTGGCGCCGCCGGTTTGTGAGCCCAGCTACCGTGCTTTACAAATGACATGCGTATTTTCCGACCAGGTTTGTCTACATGGACCTAGAGGGTGGCACGGGTTGTCCATATGACTCGGTGAGCGTCTTTGACGACCGGTGGACCAACCCGGAGGAGCAGGTGGACAAGTTCTGCGGGAACATGACCACGAGCCCGCCTCACTCGGTGAGAGCCGAGCCGACGCATGTCTCCAGACTTGGACTCAGAGTTGGACGTAGAGTAAATGTTTCAGGTGTCCAAAGCATGGGGAAGGGGGCGGCTGCCCCCCCCCCCCCCCTATTCAGATCGGTACTGCTGCGTATAAGTCTTGCCCTATCTCTTCGTCGCAGATGTTTCAAAGTTCCCCTCCGACGAAGGGGACGAAATATTACTCAAGGACAGGGTCGGAAATGTTTGTACGATCACGGGAAACATCAGACATGTTGAACGAGCCTGTCAGACCTTGTCACGTTTAACGTTTAAGCTCACATAGCCACCTCTTGCTAATGGCCATTCAAATTCGGCATTCCCATGCGACTGTTGCTTCATGACCACCGCATTGCTCGACGCTCGAAAGGAGGCACTGCGGGCTGTCAAATATCCAGGGTTCCTGGTTCGTCGGATGAGCCCCGCGTTTGACGGTGCATCTTATGACAACCCATTCCACCCATTGCGGTACCTTTTCCAGGTCACCACTTCAAACCAGGCTACAATCCAGTTCGTCACAGACAGTTCCGTGCAGCGTACAGGCTTCAAGGCGGCAGTGCTGTTCTCCGTCGGTATGTTGGCTGGCCAGCGGTGGCTCCGCACTCCGGACAGCTCTGTGCCACGCCACCAGATCCAGATGGCACCACCCGCAGAACTCTTGAAGAGATGCCAGGCAAATGTTTACAGTTGAAAAACGAAACAGCTAGGTGGAATACGTTTTATAATACACAGTGCATCTTGAATAAATTAGGCAAGCGAACAATCGCAGGTATTGTTTTAGTCTATCTGTGTTGATGTGCAGTACGACGCTAGACTTTCACGGAGCATCGAATCGTTCTTTAGCGTGAATGCACACCGATGTATTAACGACTTGAGCGTAGCATTTAGTTCCGCAATCGCAAATTGACCTGACTTGATCTGACTACTACGATTTATCAATCTGAAGGTGAATTTATCTGATACCAAAAAAGCCCACGAGCTTACATTACTTTGTACAAACGCACTGCAAGTCTGTGCTATGCGTCTGGCCACAGAACTGTGGGCGGCCAAACCGACATATGCAGACGGCGAGCTGGCCGGCGTCTCACCCTCTGACCACCCCTGACCGGCCGTCAGGTCCGAGTCAGGGCTGTGACGGCGAGCTGACCGGCGCCTCACCCTCTGACCATCCCTGACCGGCCGTCAGGTCCGAACCAGGGCTGCGGCAACGAGCTGACCAGCGCCTCCCCCTCTGACCATCTCTGACCGGCGCCTCACCCTCTGACCACGCCTGACCGGCCGTCAGGTCCGAGTCAGGGTTGCGACGGCGAGCTGACCGGCGCCTCACCCTCTGACCACCCCTGACCGGCCGTCAGGTCCGAGTCAGGGCTGCGGCGGCGAGCTGACCGGCGCCTCCCCCTCTGGCCATCTCTGACCATCTCTGACCAGCGCCTCCCCCTCTGACCATCTCTGACCGGCGCCTCCCCCTCTGACCATCTCTGACCAGCGCCTCCCCCTCTGACCATCTCTGACCGGCGCCTCCCCCTCTGACCATCTCTGACCGGCGCCTCCCCCTCTGACCATCTCTGACCAGCGCCTCACCCTCTGACCATCTCTGACCGGCGCCTCACCCTCTGACCATCTCTGACCGGCGCCTCACCCTCTGACCACCCCTGACCGGCCGTCAGGTCCGAGTCAGGGCTGCGGCGGCGAGCTGACCGGCGCCTCCCCCTCTGACCATCTCTGACCGGCGCCTCACCCTCTGACCATCTCTGACCGGCGCCTCACCCTCTGACCACCCCTGACCGGCCGCCAGGTCCGAACCAGGGCTGCGGCGGCGAGCTGACCGTCTCCGGCTCGGGGCAGCAGACGCTGCGTTCGCCCGACACCGACGGCGACGGCGGCTACGAGGACGACCTAGACTGTCGCTGGCTGCTGCGCGGCGACGAGGGCCGCGTGCTGCGCTTCACCGTCCACCAGCCGTTTAACGTCGAGGTCAACGGCTCCAGCTCGGCCGCCTGCCCCTATGACTACCTGGAGGTCAGGCGTCCGTACCACTGCAAGGACAATGAATAGCCCAATTGTACACGAGCTCCTTGGAGGCGCTGCTTGCATGGCTAACACACAGGACGGCATCGGTATTCTGAGACAACTTGTTCGTATTTCCCATTCCCTGCGGTTGGCTTTAGCTCTTGCTGCGCCCGCTGTGTCGCCACCTACCGGTCGCCATACTAGGTCTTCAGTGTTGCTGAGTTGCGCACCGCTCCCAGGTACGTGACGGCCTGAGTCCGGCGGCACCGCTGGTGGACCGCTACTGCGGTACACAGCTGCCGCCGGCCATCACTGCCTCCTCCAGCCGGCTGTACGTGCGCTTCTACTCAGACAGGGAGATCCATCGTTCCGGATTCACAGCCACCGTCACGAACGTCGACTGTGAGTGACGAGGCCTGCACTGACCCCCATGCTGACGTCACTGGCGCTGTATGTGGGGCGGGCAGCACACTGTGGCAGCGGTGCCTACTGTGCGGGCGGCGGCGGGACAACGGCTGATGGACCCAACCATGCGGACATGGAGCGACGACCGCTGCCCTCCCCCGCCGTGGGCTACAACACGCACGCGGCCCTGCTCCGTCGGCTTTGTCGTGACGCGCGCGGCTGCCGTTCCGGTCAGCGGTGTGAGGTCGTGCCGGCGTTTCCAGCTGTGTGCGGCCGGACCACCCTGGCGGCTACCGAGACGGTGCAGATCCTTCAGAGCCCCGGCCACCCCGCCCAGTACCCGGCCAACCTACTCTGCGTCTGGACCATCGCGGCCACCCGGTACCAGACGGTCCAGCTGCACTTGACGGCGTTGCAGATCGCCGGCGGGCCCGGCTGCGCCCGGGACCGGCTCACGGTGGAGAGGGTGAGCGCTCGGCACTGCGCCAGTCCCAGCACCGCCCGGCAGTACTGCTCCGGTGGCGCTGGTGGACGGGCGGCTCTGGGCTCTTGTCATACGGGCGGGTGAATGCGTTCAACGGGCCTGAGATTTATGGCAGGTTGTACCGTGCTTGTCGCACACAGTAATGCTTCGCTTGTGGATAGTTTTAGTCGAAACGACCTCAGAACAACCATCTTCCATTTGTGAAATCATTGTCTGGGGAGCAGCGGTAAGTCAAAAGGTTCATTCAACGATAGATGAGGATGCCAGGAATGCAACCAACACTTATGACATGGATAACACACTTATGTAATAACACGCTTATGACATTTGATAACATATTTGTGTCACGCGATAATTGACTTCTGGCATGTGATGAAACGCTTATGGCGCATGATAACACACTTATGACATGTGATGACACACTGGTGATATGGGTAACTCACTTATGGCATGTGATAACACACCTATGCCATGTGGTAACACACTCATAACTTGTGATAACTCACTTAAAGCAGGCCATAATATACTTATGATATGTGTTAACACACTTATGACATGGGTAGCACACTTATCACATGGATAACACGCTATGCCATGTGATAACACGCATACGGCACTTGATAACACACTTATCCCATGTGATAGCACACTGTGTCATGTTATAGCACGCTTATGACGTACGATAACCGCAGTGTAGCATAAGTGAGTGCACTTGTTCTGCAAGCGAACTAATAACTGCCGCCTTTAAATGCTCCACACCGTCTTAACGGTCTTCGTTGTGGGAAACCCCGCCCGTTTAGCCACGTTATGGTAATTCTGTACCTTGCCCCAGTAGCTGGAGTAGAAGTGGGAGCTCTCGCCGTTACAATAACGCGGTGTGTGACCTCAACAGTCTGCTGATCACTAAATGTGTTAGTAAGCCACTCAGCAGGCGACGTGCTCGTTTTGTAATGATGCCTCATTCAGAATGGTACTTACGGTATGTTTTATTTGCAGATCGATCAGCACCCCGCCCAGTACCGCCAAGACGGGACATACTCGGTATTGAATTTACACGGCCAACTGAGTTTTTCCTTCTTCCGGCCTGCTGCTTATTTGTGACAGCTTTCAAACCTTCCCGTTTTCTCCTTCGGTCTTGGTTTTCTTGATTATTCGATTTTAATTGTGTTATAGTTATAAAAGAGTGTTGTGCTTGACACATACGCATGTTGCAAGGAAAAGGCACGGGAATAGGGTAGGCAATGGGGGGGGGGCTCTCCTCCACCCCTACTTTTGGACTGGAGTTCCCCCCCCCCCTTCAAAATGATCGGGCTAAACGCTAATCTTAAGGCTTTCATATACCAAATCGATATAATCAGAAAGTCTTAGACAATGCAAGGAAGTCAGGATTTTGCTTGATGAAGCCCAGAAAAACCACGCGACGCTTTTCCATTCACTTTTTCATTCTTTAACACGCGCCTGGGTGGCCGGCTAGATATCCTTCTTTCGGGTGAGGAGTCAATTTGACCCCCCCGAGATCTCAAGAACTAAGAAAGCTAGAGATACAAAATTTGCAGGGTATATTGACTGGTACGTGAACTCACTTTGGTTAAAGTTTTAGGTTCCTATGTCACGACTTTTAGGTAAAATAAGATTAAATCCCAGGCTGGTTTTCAAAGTGCCCCCAGAACCTAGATAGCTGTTTCTAAGCAAAAGATCTCAAGCCCATTCAAGGTCTGTAACCCTGTTTGGCCTTTTGAAGGTCATGGTTACCAAAATCATGCAAAACTGTCCTGAGTTTTGCGTTTGAATTAGCGGCTAATTTGAATTACACTAAGCAGTATGTTCCTAAAAACAAAATGTCGACCTGGGTCATCTCAGGTCAATGACCGATTCTGACCTATGAGAAGTCAATGAAAGATGTATAATACGTTTCCTGTTTTCAGTAAATTCGAAATAAGCACCAGAAACTATCCCATACAGCAAGCCCTAGAGTAATAAAACAGGTTGGTTTTGGCCTTGGTCTGACCTTCATGCCTCAGTTTCAACGCAACGCGATTTGCTCATTCAATATTTTTGTTGCCTAAGAAAGCATCTCAGAGATGTGTGGCTTGGTCAAACACTGCGTTGTTGCATCAGATTGAGCGATCCCCTAGAAAGTGCCTTCTCTGAAACCATGGCTTGACTTTGACCTGCCATAGGTCAGCGACCTTACAAGGGAGGTCTATATGCTGTATATCAAACGATCTGCTATTCGGTTGTCTACAGCTATGCAAAAATTGGCGCGGCCACGGGGCACCGTTCAGAGGCCATTCTGGAAAAGCCTTGGAAGCGGGGTCAAGTTGACCCCGCTTCCAACATTTTTAGTGAGATGCAGACCAAATTTCAACTCGGCAGAAGTCGGCAGCTTTGCGGATCCTCGCCAAAACGGCACGCTGTCGTCAGATTATGGCATGCAGGCAGTTTTAATAAGTAAGCTTACTACTCATCATCGTGGCGCACAGCATACGCATCATCGGTGCAAGAGGACCTTTGACTGACGTTTGAGGGCCTAGCCTGGCGGGCTGGGGTCCCTTCATATGTCTCCCGGCCTGCCCTTCGGACCCTGCGATCAGGCCGTCGATCTTCGGTCCCGTGGAGCTTAACGGGTCCCTTGTAATCTAAGGACCTAAGGGGCTACGTGTTCTCCCGCTTCCCATGCGTGCCCCCCTTATGGTAACGCCGTTAGAGGGAAGAATAAGGGTGTAGGTTCTGCTACAGTCACTGGCCCAGGGTCGGATCCAGGATTTCTTGAAGAGGGGTCCGCTCGACTTGGGTTCGTCAAGTTGGCAACAAATCCAGATTCGTATCCAGGTTAATATTCGCGATTTTAGCCTGCTATGGGTGCCAGTATAGGTCCTGCTTTCGTGCTCATCGTGGCGAAGATATCATTATCTTCCCTTTTCGCAATTTATTGCGAAATTTGAATGAGCTGCAACAGAGAGCAACAACTACCACTCACTTAATGGGTAATAGGAGTGGGACCTAATGGACGTTGCGTGCCGGTCTTAGTTTTTGTGCTTAATACGATCAGGTCATACTACATCTGTGTGCAGATTTCCAGGTCAATGGAAAGTCGGCTGCCTGGCGAATATCGATTACATATCGATGGATGTGAATTTGAACCTGCTGCGAACTTGATGACCGTAGTCGAAATGGTGACATCACCCGGAATTTGGTATCGCCTCCACAAACGGTTCAAGAGCTCGGCCAGTCACTTTTTAGATTCTTATGATTGCTTTTTTACAAGAAAAACAATTTTATTGGTTGCAAAACTGGATCCTTAGGTTGCAAACTGCATATTTTAGCGCGTAGTTGTATTAAACTTTAGTTGTGTCTATAGACTGGTGAACTCTGCCATTTTCTGAAATATTTCGGAGGATAAGTGGCAAAATAGTTCAGGCTGCCTGCCGAATACTAACAAACTCACTTACGGTAATCCATCCTAATTGCTATTTTATGAACGTTTTATGAGACAAAACCGCCAGACAAATCTCATATTTAGGTTACTGAGCCAACCAACAGTGATTGGTATAAAGTCAAGGTGACGGCTATAACCTCAATTTTAAGAACAACACCCTGGAATGTTCACAAATGTTTTATTTGCATGTGGTTACAATGGCAACAAGCAATGAGCGATGGCGTGCTTGTTTAGGCTGTCGTCTTCGTCTGTTGTGTTGGTGTATACGCAACGACCTGACCAGGTCATTCTCCGGCCGTTTTCAGCTATTACTGAGCGTTAAGAAGGATTGTATTGTGTTCGGCTTTCGGCCATGACGTGTCACAACCCGACTTCTCTCCTTAAAATGGCTAGAATTATAGCCGGTGTCTCCTGATTACGAGCCCAGCCTGCTACCATTGAGCTGACCGAGAAGGGTGCTCTGAAACACTACGCACATTGTAACGCGCCACGCGAGAACAGTTCTGCTGTACCGTTTGCGCACTTTTACTGTTGCTGTCCTGAAATATCCAATTGTCGTCCTAAAATGGGCAGTTTTTAATAATGGACGTGGTTGGAAGACATTTAGGCAATTTTTTACATAAAGTCGTGTGTATTGCACACGTCTCTTTGTTTAGGTTAGAGTTTATTCGTACGGCGTGTTTTGATATAATCAGCCAGCTGTGTACGCACCAACGAAAGCTTGTCTTACACGTGGGCCTTACTCATATAGTTTGTATGGGTCCGGTTACTGATATCTTCAACTACCACTGTTTTTGAAAGAAATGAAATGAAAAAGGGGAGCCTTTTTCAAAAAATGAAATGAAATGAAGGGAGCCTTCGTTTCCTAAAACGATTGCTTCAGAGAGATAAACATGTCTTTTTATCTATACGAACCTTTTCAAAAAAATTACTCCGAGCTGGGGTGGTCCAAGGGAGAAATAATAGACGCGGGGGAGACACACTGTGCCATACTATTCTCTCTTTTTGTACCATCGTTTGTGCCGCAGATCAAAGCAATGTGTGATGATGATGTAGATGATGACGGTTCCTGCCGTGCCTCCTAGATCCGCTTCTGGGATTATCTTATGACAGTTTGGCAAAAATATCATCTATTTAGTGATTTTGTCCGTAATTTGGTGGCCAATCGTGAACCAATCAGTGAATGAACCCGTAGTCTGACCTGTTCGACAACCACGACTGGAAGCTGCGAATAGCTGGAAGGGTGCGAGGTGGCGATGCAATGGCATACCAATATTCTCGTTACATTTTAGTGGCCCCATTATTAATCACATATCAAAACAGACACTGCAGTCATGTCAGCAGTGCACTGGTGGGGAACCCGGGTGCCAGACGCGAGTATAACGCAGAGTCACTGCAGTAATACCGTGGAGTCACCGCGGGGGCTGTCGCGAGGTACTCGAGGTCGCGAGATCGTGAGGCGCAGTAGCTAATGGGCCAAGCATTGCATGACTATCCACTCATGATGGAGTTCAGCATGAAAGAAGTGTAGGCACTAAGAGTTTCGGTATTTCCAGCATCTCACTCTTTTCTTTGTTAAATGTGATCGTGAAAGTGGACGGTATAGGACTGAGAATATGGGTGTCACAGAATGCTGATAATGTACGCTGTCCTTTATCATCAGGAATGAATATCAAAATATGATAGTGATGCGTATACGTATATATATATATATATATATATATGCATGTGTGTGTGTGTGTGTGTGTGTGTGTGTGTGTGTGTGTGTGTGTGTGTGTGTGTGTGTGTGTGTGTGTGTGTGTGTGTGTGTGTGCGCGTGTGTGTGTGTGTGTGTGTGTGTGTGTGTGTGTGTGTGTGTGTGGTGTGTGTGTGTGTGTGTGTGTGGTGTGTGTGTGTGCGCGTGTGTGTGTGTGTGTGTGCGCGTGTTTGTGAGTCTGTGTGTACATGAAGTACAATGTTTATAAAATCAATACGGAAATGTTGCTTATAAACGGAAATCGATCCAGCAGCAGGGCTCATGTTTCGCTCTCGCGTCGAGACACATGATAACGTCGATGATGATAATGCTAATCAAACAGAGCGCCTTGTTCGCCAAATTTGAAAACAAAGCGGCCGAAATCCAGTGAGATAAAAAAACAAAAGACGGGGTCAGGTCACCTTTCGTTTACCCCCACCTTCAACTTTGAAATCGTTGCTGCGCCGCTGGTGCAACGCATGCGGCGTACTCAGGCATGGTAATGCTCGCAGTGTATGCTAATGTTTGGCTGCTCTGAACTGCGATTGCTGACATAAAAACGCAACTTAATATTGTTTTTGCCGAGCGCCGCTGTGCTTTTTGGCTCCCTTGTTTGTATCTATTTTCTTATCGGAAGCTATTGCAACAATGAGTACTGGTTGGGGAAAAGTCACCACGTCGAAATGCTCGACCATAAACTACTTTCTATTTGTACGGAAACGGGACGGGGTAGAGCATAACCCACATATTTCCGGTAAAGCTCAATGTCAGCCTCAATTCCGTGCATAAAAACGGTCTCCTCTTTCGGGCTGCTACTGCGTCCCCGCCGTTGAACGATGCATCAGCGTGTCTGGCCCGGCGCATCGATGCCTCCTGTTGGGTGCATCGGCACCTCTTGTTCATTGCATCGGCGCCTCTTGTTCATTGCATCGGCACCTCTTGTCCATTGCACCGGCACCTCTTGTTCGTAGCATCGACGCCTCTTGTTCATTGCATCGGCGCCTCTTGTTCATTGCATCGGCCCCCCTCGTTCAGTGCATCGGCGCCTCTTGTTCATTGCATCGGCACCTCTTGTCCATTGCACCGGCACCTCTTGTTCATTGCATCGACGCCTCTTGTTCATTGCATCGGCACCTCGTGTCCATTGCACCGGCACCTCTTGTTCATTGCATCGGCGCCTCTTGTTCATTGCATCGGCGCCTCTTGTTCATTGCATCGGCACCTCTTGTCCATTGCACCGGCACCTCTTGTTCATTGCATCGACGCCTCTTGTTCATTGCATCGGCGCCTCTTGTTCATTGCATCGGCCCCTCTCGTTCAGTGCATCGCCGCCCCTGATCTGGCGGGTCGGCACCTCTTGTTCGATGCAGCAGTGTTTCTGGCCCCGTGCATCACAGCCTCCGGCCCTGTCGCTGATACTGCGATGTCGCTGAGGTGGCGCCGGCGTCACGGGCGTCTCACTGTCGCCCGCAGCACTATTGGGGCTGGGTGGGGGACACCTACTGCGGCACCACCGTACCGGCCACCATCTACTCTCCCGGCGGCAGCGTGCGCGTCCAGTTCACCTCGGACAGCACCGACCAGATGACCGGCTTCCGGCTGGAGTACTCGCTTGCACGTGAGCAGGGGGTCAGGCCACTCGGCGGGGGGGGGGGTGAGGAGAGGGACAAGCGTGGTTGGGACCGTAATCTCTCCACAACTTTACTGCCAGTTCCATCAACGTTGAATGTGAAGAACGTCACATTCTGCCGAGGTGTCAGGTGGATGGGGGTGGGGAGAGGCACGCACCGTTTTATCAGCCCTCTCACTGACCTTTGGAGAATGCCACTCCTGCCAGAATGTCGGGAATACGGCGTCAATTTTAGCTGATGGAGCCTCAACTTAGCATGCTTCACGATTAGCCGGCCCGACAGATCTGAGTGCCCTTCCTTTCACTGTTGGCATAGGTGTGTCTGACTTCCCCTCAATTAAGAAACGATGCTTAACGAATTCGACATATGTTTAAAACGCAACAGCACACACAGACACTCGATCGGTATTTCAAAAATTCATTTGTGAATTTTCAGCTCGTTTACAGCTGCAATTCCCACGTCACAAATGTTCTTTTAAAGACGGCGGTGTTGTCCAGCCAGTGAAAGGACGGCCATCTAGCTCCGAGAAAAGGTTTAACAGTTCCCGGTCTTACAGCTCGTTCTGTGATCCAGAATTAGTCTACCAATAGATGGCCAAATAGCAGTTTGGCGCGCAGCCCGGAAGCGACGGGCTCTTGGTTGTGGTTCTGGCCACGGAGGCGCATCACTGACCGCGTGTGTCCGCGCGCCGCCCGGCCAGCATGTAACCGGACATACACGGCTGCGTACGGCACCATCGGCTCAGCCTGGGAGAGCACGGGCACCAGCTCGCGCACCTGTCACATGCTCATCCAGGCGCCGGAGGGCAGCGTCATCACCGCCAACCTCTTCAGGATCGAGACGACCTACTCGAACGCCGCCAACAGCTGCGACCGGCTGCACCTGCAGGCGAGTTCACACGACCAGGCCTGGGTGGTTCGTTCTCTCTTCTCTGGATTGCCATCATTGAGTATGGTTCCCCTCTAGCACTAATACTGTCATCGTCCAGAGGCCTTCACGAGCTGCCGCTGTCGAGATTGCCGGCGATACCGTGAGGACCAGTGAAGTGAATGCCGGTCGGATCCCGAGCTTACGCGGATTTCACCGGACAAGTCCCTGTCAGCACCTTTGTTTACGTGGCTGAAACGCACCGGATTAACTGTGTCAAATGGCAGATATCTAACACTTGAAATGTGGAACTTGCATTTGCTCGGAACTATTTTCGAAATGGCTGGTAGATTTGCTTCATAAATCAGTTACGACTGACGGCTGCTGGTTCGGAATAGGTCAGTTTCATAAGAAAACAAAATGCTTGTTGTCTGCCATTGAGCACCTCTGCAAACGTACTTCATCATCGCACTGCACGAATCTTATATGTTCACGGTGTTGACTCCACGCCACATGTGGGGAATATAGGCATCCACATGCATCGGTGCTTGTGCAGGAAGGCTCGTAAATGCTTTGACCAGAGCTTTGTCTTCATTCAAACTCGAACGAATGTACAACTGTCCGTTCGTGACTGTTCCAGCTGCTAGATGGAAACTCAAGAAGTTCGCCCCAGCTGAACCAGGCTTGCGAGAGCCTGTATACACCAATCAGCGTTGTGTCTTCGGGCAACCACCTGCTGCTTCGCGTGACAGCATCGCAAACATACAAATTATTCGCGAACTACTTTGTTTCTGACGTTGGTAAGGGAGAAAACAACACCCGCATTTTCGCCCATGAAAATAGGCAATGCATTCTACATATATTTCTACATGCATTCTACTATGTTTACCGGTGGTTTTAAAACTATGCCTATTAACAAATCAGGTGAACAAATCGGGTGCCTATCATCCAATTGTTTCCCCCTTGGCACAGCATGGTCCTCCGAACACCATGACTTCCTTGGGTAGCGCGGTACGGTTCTGTGATCGGTGGGATGCTTGATTACGTATGGTCATCTGTGTTGCCTACGCATCGTACGTCAATGCCTCACACATCGACGTATGTACATACTGGTGCGCTCAACGCAATCTCTTTTCCGGGTTGATATTAAATGCAGCCAATGCCTCGGGCACTCTACTTTGGTACCACTTTGATAAATGTGTGTGTCAGACAACTTTCTTCGTAATAGACAATTGGCTTGAATGGATACGATGTTCGCGGCGAATGTTGAACTCCTTTGAAGTTGATGTCCTCCCGCTGTTGCATTGACAATGGCCTGATCCTCAGGAGCCCAGTGTGCATTGACTGTGGCCTGCTTTTCAGGAGCCCAGTGTGCACTGACTGTGGCCTGATCCTCAGGAGCCCAGTGTGCACTGACAATGGCCTGGTCCTCAGGAGCCCAGTGTGCACTGACTGTGGCTTGATCCTCAGGAGCCCAGTGTGCACTGACTGTGGTCTGATCCTCAGGAGCCCAGTGTGCACTGACTGTGGTCTGATCCTCAGGAGCCCAGTGTGCACTGACAATGGCCTGGTCCTCAGGAGCCCAGTGTGCACTGACTGTGGTCTGATCCTCCGGAGCCCAGTGTGCACTGACAATGGCCTGGTCCTCAGGAGCCCAGTGTGCACTGACTGTGGCCTGATCCTCAGGAGCCCAGTGTGCACTGACTGTGGCCTGATCCTCAGGAGCCCAGTGTGCACTGACTGTGGCCTGATCCTCCAGAGCCCAGTGTGCACTGGCAATGGCCTGATCCTCATGAGGCCCAGTGTGCACTGACTGTGGCCTGATCCTCAGGAGCCCAGTGTGCACTGACTGTGGCCTGATCCTCAGGAGCCCAGTGTGGCGGCAACGTTCCACGGCATGTTCACGACAGTGATCAGCCCAGGCTACCCGGGCAACTACTCCAGGGAGTCGGTGTGGCCGGTGGTCTCTCTCCGTGCCGCCGCCATACAAGCTCGGGCTGTACTTCTCAGGCGGTGAGTAGGCCACTTGATTAAGGGTTCTCTCAATTGGAATCACAAAACAGGGGCCATTTCTCAATCCTGTGCCTCTCTTTGCCAAGGCCCCTGGCTGCCCGCCTGAATGCCACCTATCAACGGTGTGAACAAAGTGTGAGGGGCATTTCCACCGTGATAATTACGAAGTCACCATTGTAGAGAAAGTTAAAATTTTAGTCATGACTTTTGCATGCATCTGTGTATGTATGTGACTGACATCCTCTAATTTTGAATCGCGAAGTTTTCCGAACTGATGGTCAAAGGTTGGGAGAGTGTCGGCAAAAGGCCAGACTGCGTTAGTGCCTTTGGCATGAGCTTGAGTCATGCCAAAGTCACGGACATGGACTTGCACATCAAACATGTGAACAACCATGATCAAATCATCACACATCCAACATCATCAACAGCCATGCGTCAAAGTGCCTTCTTCCTTGTCGTTTCTGGGGATCGTCCTATGGAGCTTTCCCTCGGTTAGCTTAACCCGCTTTGATGGACTGGCGAAAAGCCGGCCGGGCGAAGCTACGTTCTGACGAAACCCAACTGACACCGGCCGCAGCCGTGGACTTTGGCTCGAGAGTGGGCGGCTGCAACTCGACCTACCTGTCCGTGTTCTCGGTGGGCTCGTCTGGAGAGAAGGTCCCTCGTGACGACACACTGCCGGCCAGGTGAGTGCCGACCGAGGTCAACGGTCAAGCTTTGCGGGAATGAGTGGGCTCGAGCCCCGCGTACATATGGGAATCCTCACGGCGTTGACGCGTCATTTGAACCAGCAAGTGAACGTCGTATACCTGGGGCTGTGGCGATAATGTATGGGCATGCTCGGCACAAAACGTTCTCACAGACAGACTCTGTTCTTGTGGTTCTCACATGCAGACTGGAAATTGCTTGTGGGACGAGGTCATCGCAACGCCCGTTGCTGTTTATGCTGCATTTTACACCCATCGTATATTGAATAGTGGGTGTTAACGATCGGCGCAGAAAGCAGCAGTGCAGGCCCGTGATCGCCCCCAAAGCTGGCTGACCTAGGATGCCTTGAGGTTGTGGTTGACCCACGGCTGATCAGCCCCTTGAGTGTGGCAGACTGTGATTATGAACAGTCGTCACGTAGACCGATTTCAGCCTGGCGGCCACCGGACAGCGAAAGCAGCTAACCAAACCACGCGAATGGCCGTGGCAGCTGACGCTTGGTTTGACCAGTTTGCATGAAACGGCTGCTGGGCCTTGCAGTGCAATCGGCCTATGCAACTCGACACTTAGCAACTCGACGTATATCGCAGGATGAATACAAGCTTTCATTCAATTTGACTTCCCCTGAGGTTTTCAGAATGTGTGCAGTGGACAGACGTAGAAACGCACGTCGTCACAGGCACCGGCGGGCATAGACTTCTGCATAGAGACCCTCGTCCTGCCGCCTGAAGCATCGTGTCTCATTGCCAACGATGACCTGACCAGATGCCAATGGGCCGCATGACAAAGGTCCCGATGGACACCAGTGGGCCGCATGACAGAGGTCCCGATGGACACCAGTGGGCCGCTGAGAGAGGTCGCAATAGACAGCAGTGGACCGCATGAGAGAGGTCCCGATGGACACCAGTGGGCCGCATGAGAGAGGCCCCGATTGACA